TCTATGTTTTGTTTGGAAAATACAGAGTTTTTGTCAGCTTTTTCATCGCTGCGACTAAAAGGACCCAACCAGAACAACTGTAGAAGAGGAAAAGTGTATTTAGGGGCTTATGGTTTGAGAGGTCTCAATCCATAGACGGCAGAATCCATTCCTTGGGGCTTGAGGTGACATGGGACATCATGGCAGAAGTGTTTGGCAGAGAGCAGCTCACATGATAATCAGGAAGCAGAGAGACGCCACTGGCCAGAAACAAATATATACCCCAAAGCCACACCCCAATTTCTACCTCTTCCACCCACACCCTACCACTTCAGTTACCACTCAGTTAATCCCTATCGGGGGATTAATTCACTGATTGGGTTAAGACTCTTACAACCCATTCATTTCTCCTCGGAACCTTCTTGCATTGTCTCACACATGAGCTTTTGGGGGACACCACATCTAAATCATAACAGCTTTTTTTTTTTTTTTTTGGAAAAAAAGTTAACGTTAAGATGTTTATTATCAAACCAATAGTATTGAAATTTTTTTTCAGTTTTATAATCTAATGCTGTAAACATCAATAGACACGCCTATAAACAAAAGCTCTTGGAAGGTTCTTGAAAAGTTTTGAGTGTATAAAGGAATTCTGAGATCAAAAAGTCCGAGAACAGTCCTAGAGGATAAATGATCTCTCTGAACCTTAGAAGAGGGCAAAGGTGACCTCAGTACACTGTGTGTGTGTGTGTGTGTGTGTGTGTGTGTGTGTGTGTGTGTGTATGTGTCTCAGGGGGGCATTATAGGCTATAGATGTAGCTTAGTGACTGAGTGTGTGCTTACCATGTATGAGGCCCTGGGTTCAAGGACTGGTATGCATCCCCCCTGCCCCCTCCGCCCCCCAAAAAACCCACCCAAAACAAAAACAACAAAACTCTGGGATCAGCAGTTATGTATAGTTAGTGGTACTTGGGTTAGCAGAGATACTATCCTTCATGACCTTCTCAGGGTAAGTCAGTTGGAATTGAGGATATATATTTGCATGCTCACCTGTGTTGGAAATTGAACCTAGGGCCTCCTGCTTGGCCTCCAGCCCTCAAGGCTATTGTTACTCTTCCCATTTCATAGAAAATTGGGGAGTGGAGAAGTTGTGAACTACCATAGATTATAGAGATGGTCAAACAGAGCTGGAATCATTTGGTTCTTAGGTCTCCTGGTTTCATATTTTTCCATTTCTTTACTGACTACATCAGGTATCAGCATGAATCATCAGCCAGATTGTGATCTTCCAATAGACCATGTTGTAAGAGATAGCTACCCCACCTCCTTGTGGAGGACAAATGATGTCAGACCAGTTTCATATTCTCCATAAAAATAAACACCATAATATCAATACCTTTGAAATTCTTGACCAGCTAGAAAAAATTATCTTAGGAAAATGATAGAACCTATGCCTGGGGGAAAATTCAACAAAACAAGTTGGGCATGATCGTGCCTGCCTGTAATCGCAGTGACTGAAGAGGCTGAGGCCAGAGGATGCAAGTTTGAGAGTTTGAGGGCAGCCTCAGCAACTTAGCAAGACCCTGTCTCAAAATTGAAACTAAAAAGAGTTAGGAATGTAACTCAGTGGTAGAGCTTCCCTGGGTTCAATCCCCAGTAATGCAAACCTACCACCACCACCCCCCCCCAAACAAAACCACAATAAAACAGAGCCTTAATTTTTAAAAATAAACATGTCATGGAGGACATGCTGGCAAGTTGAAAACAAACCATTCCAGGAAGCTGGTGATATTCATGCCCACAAAAAAGGCAGAGTGACGGTGTGTTGGGAAAAGAGTGACTCACACAGGCAGTCTGGAAGCAGCTCTTAGTAGAGCAACATGGCAGCCTCTTTCAGAAGACACGTCCAGTTCTGTCATTGTAGTTGCAGAAGGCAGGAAATGCACAGATTCTTGAAGCATGGCCATGGGACAGTCAGTGCACAGGATTAGGGAGGGGGTGGGAAGGATCTTGGAACAGTCTCTTGGCAGCAGATCAGGTGGGTAATTTGTAGTTGTCTGTGGTATGAACTATGCTTCTTTGATTTCAGCACTATGTGTTGGCTTGGATCTTTTGGAAATATAAAATACTTCTGCTCTGCACTTCATTACATCTAGCAGATGTTGCTTTATGTTTTTGAACCCAATTTTCAGAATGAGCATGGTATCAAATAGCATACTCTTAAAAAACCAGAAAAGAGGAAATCAGTTAATTGGCCACTTACCAGGACAGTAAGAAGGGTCCAGACTTTAAGCCACTGCTGTAGTACCAAAAGTATATTCTAAGAAGAGAAAAAGTGGTTCTGAATGTTAATTGATGTAAATTGAAAGAATATTCACTTGCATTTTGAGAGTAATTTAAAAATACATGTTAGGTTGAGCAAGGAGAATAATCCCATTCCTGAATACTTTTCATCTCCTAATATATAAAATTGAAAATGTGCCCCTGGAATATTTACCAGGGATGCAAATGGRGGAGATGGAAAGAAGAAAAAAAAATCTATGACTCAGTATTTTCAGGTTATTACACACCTATTTGGCTTCTGAATCTAAAGTCAAAATACTGAGTCAATTCGTCAGTACTGAGCTGTAAGACTTTTGCTTTATGCATGTTTTGAAAGCAGAGTCCATAGAGAAGGTATATTTATGTAACAATGCTGTTACTCAGTGTTCCTTCATTTTTCTGCATATTGCTATCTTAATGGAAATTTACTGGAAAATTCTTGCCAGAATAAACACATTCCTTCAGCAATGAAAAGCTTAATGTACTTCTAGCTCAACTGTACCTCTTTCCTGTGAGCAGATAAACCAAATTATTTGGCATTAGTCATTATATTTCACATAGTTCACCATACTTATTGTGGTSTCTTGTGGGAGCTGCAGTGGGTACAAGTAGGGAATAGGAATAAGGTAGCCAGTCTTGCATTATCATGTGAGATAAAATAAAAACAAGGACAGGGCATGTGTATTTGACAAAACAGAAAAAAAAATGAATTTGACAGGCATTCTACAAATTAGCTGTAGTTATCCTGGTAAGGCAGGATTAAGGACTATGAACCACAGATAAATTGAGCTGCTGATACTGGGGGAAAAACAAGTCATTTTTAAGAGAGGGTAACTTTCTTATTCACATTTTAATTTGATTCAGGATTGAAAACCCTGTAATAAAAGTATTAGTCATGCTGGGTGTGGTGGCCCATGCCTGTAATCCCAATAGCTGGGGAGGCTGAGGCAGAGGATTGTAAGTTCAAAGCCAATCTCAGCAATTTAGAGAGACCCTCGGTAACTCAGTGAGACCCCTGTCTCTAAATAAAACACAAGAAGTGCTGGGGGTGTGGCTTACTGGTTAAGTGCCCCCCTGGATTCACTCCCTTGTACCAAAATAAAATAAAATAAATAAAATTATACAGTGACCATTGGGCCAGGCCTGGGGACCAGGATGGGATACAGTGATGTAAACAGGATGCTGGGGGCCAGGGAGGGAGGAAGTACCCCTTGAATTAAGGGATGGAAGAGGCAAACAATGGACAATAGAGAACTGAGGAAAGAAATTCACAAACTTGTCCAGACTTATTCTTGTTGGCCCTAGTCCTGATGTTCACCCATCACCATCCAAGATTGCTACCAGGGAGTGATTATAGTGAGTGAGTATTCATTCATGAAATCTGCATTTATAAAGTACTTAAGGCATAAAGATCCATCTTTAAGGTTATTAATAAAACTGACCTATGATCTTGGTACTGCTAACTACTGAGTTGTGCTGCATTTATTTGTAGCAATAGACAATTAAGGTCTTTCACTTTTTCTAACAAACGAGTTGGAATTAAACATCTAGATAGGTTAACCCAGAATTTAGTGACACTCTACCTCACGTAGTGTTAAAGTCCTACTATTTTAAATAATTGTGGGAAAGGCCAGTTGAAATTTAAGAATGTTCACACATTATTAAATAATTTTATATTTATTTTGACTTTCAATATATACAGGAGGTAAAATCAATCTAACAAGTATTACTTCCTAAAAGTCCTTGGGAAATAAAAGGGCAATTTGAAATTAAAATCTTAAAAAAACATTTTTCACCACCTGTCCCTATTCATATTGTACTTTTAAAAGAAAAATATYGAATATAAAGGAAGATACCATAGCTGAAATTTTTCCTCTTTTAGGTAATTAGGTKCTATTTTCTCTATATTTAAATAATCAAAAATTTCAAATTTCTATCATATAAGGTCCTTTAATTCACCTCTCATGTGTTTCTAAGATTGAATTATAAAGGAAGAATACAGTTCACTTGAAGTCATGAGAATGCTCTCATTCAATTTATCCTTTTATTTATGGATTGTATCTAAAAAATCAATGCTCAGGGTAATTCCAAACTCTTCAGAATTGCTAATTAAAGAGTTTTTAAACACATTTTAAAATTATTAATATGTGTGTGTCATGGGTACACTTACAGCAAAGATTTAAAGTTGCTTTCTGCAGTAGAGTATAACAGCAAACTAATATATCACCCTATTTATATTTGTTCCAAAAATAAAATGGAAATTTAAATAGTACTTTATTCATTGGTTGCATATATTTGCTATTTACATTTTATAAATGTAAGTGATAAATAGCACATAAAATTTTCAATTTTATTTATAGCCTGCAATCAAAATTCATCCTATTTTTTAAAAAACTCAAAGTTTTAAATTGCAATGAGTCTTAAGATAATTTAAGTAATAATGTAAAAAGTGCAGGTAATTCACCCTGCCGCTCTTTGTCCCTCATAGTACTGTTTTGGAAAGTGTGAAACTCTTCATTCTGGGAGCATATTATAATCAATAGCAGCCAAAGGTAAACAGTTTCAAAATATGTTATCTTCTTTGCTTTATAAAGGAAAAYTTAAGAAGTTGTCAAATTTTCCAGCTCAGCACTATGATATTTTGAAAATTGTAATATTCCCTCATTTACTAAAAGGAACCATTTTTTTTTTTTAACTTATAGTCGGAGATATGGCCAGTATACCATGAACCAGGACACCACCACTAAAATTACGGAGAAGCCTCCATTTGATCGATCAAGTTCCCAGGATTCCTTGGACGAACTTTCTATGGAGGACTATTGGATAGAACTGGAAAATATCAAGAGATCTCATGAAAACAGACAAGACAATCAAGAGGTGGTGGTTGTCAAAGAACCTGATGGTAACAAATGAATAAAATTCTTATTGGTTATTCATAGAAAATCCATGTGTAGAAAGGCAGAGTAGAACAACCAGAAAATGAAATTGTTAGTTGTCTTTCAACTTGATAATTACTTGTTTGTAGCAGGTTTATGGGTGTAGCTGCCAGATACAAGTGGCATGARCAAATTCACTTAATTGTTGCTATGGCTGGGTTCTTGGTGGCTGAACTGACTGTGGCATATAGACTTTTAGGGTTAGGTTTAATTTGTTTTTGAAACTCTGAGTTCTTTCTGTAATATGCCAGCTTCATGGTTCTTTGGTCTCTAGGAAGTGTAGATGGTGATGGAAAGCTTGTGACTTTGCAGTGTTACTGTTTTTCCAGTTGTTAGTATGCATGATTTGTTTTCATCTTTATTTTACTGATTTATAGCCTGCTCTCTTCTAATATACTGCTGTATTTTTTCTGCCTTTCGGAAGAACAGAACACATTCATTCTATTTTTACGTGGTAGCCTGTCATATATTTGAGGACACTTACCTTGTTTCTAGCCATGTAGCTTTTGCAAGGAAATTTTATGAAAAGAACCCTTAAGTGATTTTTTCAGACCTATAATTTTGGTCATTTTTGTTATCCAAAGTACAGCATGACCGACTGGATGCAGTGCCACAGGCTTAGCCTGTTAATCTACAGATACAGATTTAGACAGTGGAAGATGGCTTCACCATTTTTATCTTCCTATAGTTGCTTATTTCTTTTGTTGGCCTGTAATTTTTCTCAAGTCTCTTCCCAGCCAGATTTTCCACACTCTTCACTAATGAACTTGATATTTCTGGGAGAAACATGTAATACTTTTTTTTTTCCTTCAATTTCACACCATTTCTTTAACCTCTTAAATTTAAGCAGTCGCCAAGTTTTTGATACCCAATTTTGGCTTCTATTTATTGTATTAGCTTTCTTTCTATGTAATCCATAAATTTGTAATATATTTTGGTGTATCAGTTGATACATAAAAAAGSTAAAAGCCAGTCAGTGCCTCTTCATTCACTAATGAGAGATTTCCTTCTAACTAAGTGACTTAGGATTAAGTTGCACAGAAAAGTCTATATAAGATTTTTCTTCCTTGCTGCAACATTTCTTAGAAAATCTGACATTTTTTTTAAAATTGGGGCTTTTTAAAAAAATTTTAATATTTCTTAATTTGTAAAAGAAAACTATAAGCAACTCACTCTTTGGTTTCTCATTTATTTTTTTTCTCTTTCCCAAATATATTACCAATAAAGCCAGACTTCTTTGTGACAATTAATATTGTTCCTCAGCCTTTCTGTCTCAATAATTCAATATGGAAGCAGCACACGAGTGGTTTATTGAATAAGGAGGAAAATATGCTAGAGAAAATGGTATTGAGGCCAGATCCACAGGTATCATCAGTTGTTTCATAGTTCTCCAAAGTTAAATTTGATTCATACATGATCTTGTCATTTGTTCCAAGAAGATTGGAACATGTCTGTGATCCTAGCAACTCGGGAGGCTGAGGCAAGAGATTGTAAGAGGCCAGCCTCAGCAATTTAGTGAGATACTCCACAACTTTAGCAAAACTCTGTGGGATACAGCACAGTAGTAAAGCATCCTGGGTTCAAGGGTTCAGTCCTTACTATCAAAACAATAAAGGAAGATTGGGGATGGTTTTACATGTTCATACTCCTCTTTGGACTTTAAATTGTTTGAGTTTTACCCCCTCGCCCCCCTTTTTTTAAGTACCGAGGATTAAATGCAGGGGCACTGAGCTATATCCCCTAACTCCCAGACCCTTTGTATTTTTTTTTGGGGGGGGGGAAGGGTTTTGTTAAGTTGCCAAGGTTGGCCTCAAACTTGTGATCTCCCTGCCTCAGCCTCCTGAGTTACTGGGATTACAGGTGTGTGCCACTATGCCCTGTCTATCTCTGCTTCTGGAATAAATTATATTGTATATTAATCATGGTTTCCTTGTCAGGGCAATGTCTGTTTTTCCCCTAGCAATTTGGTTTTATACATCTATGACAAATTTTACCAGAACAGATTTAGTAATAATGGTTGACTTTATGTCATTAAATAGTTTTTAATGTGGAACAGACACAGTGCCTTGCACTTCATTATGTTTCTTGAAGTCAGGSTAATGAATACTTGATTTCTGCCCTCAAAGAGTGTATGTAGCATAGAAGGATAGACAGTGCCATCAGTGCTCTCGGGTGATACAGGCTACAATACAATAGAGCTTTGCAGTGTTCCTCATTTGGTTATGAGGTGGCTGAGATGGCTGTCATTTATTTCACAGATGACAAAAGCTGCTGAGGCTGGCTAGAACTTGGAATCCTCCTGTCTCAGCCTCCTGCATAGCTGGGATTACAGGGGTGTGCCACTGTACCATAAAGTCCTTTTGTTTATCTGTATTGGATTGTCAACAATAAAGTCATCCCTTAGTATCTATGGAGGATTGGTTACAGATATGGAATCTCTGAACACCAAACTCCACAAATGCCAAGTCCCTTACCTAAGATGATTATTAGCATTGGCTTATGACCTATGTGTATCCTCCTATATGTTTGAAGTCATTTCTAGACTACTTATAGTACATAACACAATGTAAATTCAATATAAATAATTGTTAATACTCTCTTGTCATTATTCCCTGAACAATAAAAGTGTGTGTGCAAGTTCAGTGCAGATGGACTGTTTATAAAATATTTTCAACATGAGGTGGATTGAATCATCAGATACAGTGTCTGAAGATGTGAAGGGCTGATAGAATTTAGTTTACTTCCTGCTTTTGGTATTTTGAATTGATTCGGTTATTAGTTTCTTATATAAATTCTTCTTTGTTAAAAATAGTCTTTTTTTGAAAAATTATAAAAAGCAACTTAATCTGATGTGCTGACTTGGGATTAGAAACATTAATTTGAAATCGAATAGTTCCCAATGTCCAGATGCTTTGTACTATTTTGCCACATTCCCTCGTCAGCTACAGTGAACAGAAAAAAAGCAAGCCATTACATAAATTAGCATTGCTGTCCATGATATGCTGAATCTAAGCCAAGAAACCAGGCTTGAATGTATATCCCCAGCACTGACTTCCCTCTGTAATTTGATGGAAGTAAGTTATCTTTTTCTTGCTTACTCATCTCTGGAAGGGGAACAGTATCATTCTCTCTAGTTCATCTGCAGGGAAGTTGTAGAGGTTAATTACATGTGAAGTCATTAAAATTTTTTTTAATTGAGTATATAGGAAATCGACCTAAAACTTGATATCGCTGTGGCCAGAGTAGATGGCAGTTGTCCAAGTTTCAGCTAATGATTCTTGGCACTGCAGTTGGGTTACAATAGAAGAGTTTCAGCAAGAATTTTTAACAGCTTAAAAAATGTGGAATTTCTTATAAATTGTGATAACACCTGGTTTCCCCCATTGTCTTAGAGGGAGAATTGGAAGAAGAGTGGCTCAAAGAGGCTGGTCTGTCTAACCTGTTTGGAGACTCTGCAGAGGACCCCCAAGAGAGCATGGTGTTTTTATCCACACTGACCCGGACCCAGGCAGCAGCTGTTCAAAAACGGGTAGAGACAGTCTCCCAAACTTTGAGGAAGAAAAACAAACAGTACCAAATTCCTGACGTCAGAGACATATTTACTCAACAGAGAGAGTCAAAAGAAAAAGTAAGTTTTTTTTTCTGATATTAAGTGAAAAGATTATGTGCTTGGTCTCACTTGGATCAGTCTAGTTTAATTCAAAGCCTACAGACTTAATGAGCACTTCTTATAAACCAGGCACCAAAGCTCCATCCAGGAAGTGAACAAAAGTGCCTGTACTCTGCCTTCTAGAAGTTACACTGATGGCRTAAAAAGCTAAGCAAACTAAAATTCAGTGTGATAATCCTCTTGGGGGAGATGATGTCCTTGGAGCACTAGATGTACCTACAGTGCYACAAGAAGTGACTGGACAGGCTTCCTGGGCAAACAGACCTTTAGTCCTTGCCAATAGAAAAACAGGAGGTGGAGGAGTCTGTCTTATCTGCTAGTGCCTGCAGGAAAACTTGTGTTTTCAGACTCACTTGGGGATGGACAGAGGTGAGATATGAGGGACCTAATGGCAGCTGAATTACAAAGTAGGGATCCTGAGATGTGAAACGATACCCCTTTTATAGCTAGCACTTAGCCCCAAACCTAGCACATAGGAAATTTTTGATGGAAGATGTTGAAGTCTGGTAGTGACTGGGGAGGTGATGAATGAAGAAACATGAGAGAAGGTATGTATAGTAAGAGGACCAGACCTGTGTGACCCAGAACAGTATAAACAATGTAGCTAGTTGGCAGGTTCCTTATTATTCATCCACAAAGAAGCCAGGAGCTAGCATAGAATGTAAATTACTATTCTCTCTTTTATCAGGAAAGTCTCACTACCCCCCCCCCCAAAAAAAAAAAAGTCCACTGAACTCAATGGTGTTCCTGGGTCATGGTAGATTTACATTCTGGCCCCAATAGCCTAGGAGACATAGTAAAGTGGTTGGTGGGGGATACAAAAGGATTCTGGAACAAGGACTGTAATGATAACAGTAACAATAACAGTTGCTGCCACCATGGTTGAACTGTGCTAATTGCTCTACCTGCTTTATCTCATTTAATCCTTACAGCTGTCTGTGAAGTATTATCATTTCCTTTCTATGGCTGAGGCTCATAGACTTTAAGTGACTTGCTCAATGGCCTATACATACTAAATCCAAATTTGTCTGACTCTGAAGTACYTGCTTTTAACCATTCTCTGTTCTGCTAAACTTTCATTTCCAGACATGATTCTGATATTAAGCATTCTGAATATGATTCTATTTATACTATAAATGAGGGGTAATGAAAATTTTGTGATTGCTTTTTGTACTGGGGATTGAACCCAAGACTCCTTAGCCATTGGGCCATATCCCCAGCTGGTTTTCTATTTTATTTTGAGACAGGATCTTGCTAAGTTGCTTAGGGCCTTGCTAAGTTGCCGAGGCTGGCTTTAAACTTGTGATCCTCCTGCCTCAGTGTCCCTAGTGGTTGGGATTACAGGCATGCACCGCCATGCCTGGAAAACTTTTATTATATRTTTTTTTCCATAACAAATGGAGTGTGGAAGGGTTCATGTTTAAGGTATCTTTCTGGCATGTAAATTTTTTTGTTTTGTTTTCATTCTTCCAAGAAATCCTTTCTAGCTACAGATTGCTACTCTATTTGCATGCTCAATTATGGATCAAAACCAGTCATTTACAGGAATTCTGGGATCATTTCAATGCTCCAGGCACTTATGTGTGTTAAGCACCTTTTACCAGCCAGTGGTGATTTGGGACATCCACTAGTACTTAAGGACTGGACTTGGTTTCGAGCTGTAGAATAATGAATGGCAAGGAAATATAGTATTATGAAATTTCCTTCCCAATCAAAGAACCCTCCTAAGGGAACTAAGAGGAAGTGAAAAGGGAGAGGGAGCCGAGAGCTGAACCTAAGCAAAATACATACTGTGGGATTCCTGCCAATCTCCAAGAGGACGTTGCTACTTGATTTTAGAAGCAGCATTTTTCAGCAAATTCCTGGTAATGTCTAAACCACATGGTTTTGAATGCAAGGTAATTGGTGGATTGTATCATCTGATGGACTCATTAAGAGAGAAATATTACAAGCAAATTGAAATAATATATACCCGCTTACAAGGCATCCCTTTAATTGAACACCACAACCCATTAGAAATGTGCTCTGCATCCCTCCAGCAAACACGGACCAGCTGTCTCCACTTGCAGTTCTTCTCTTCTTCAGTCAGTGCATATTCAGCTCTTCCAGTTTAAATGCTTTCTCATGAAGCCCTTGCTGACACTAGGAAACATAATATAGAAATGAATTCCATCKGTACTGCCATCTTCAATTGTTGAGGAAAACAATTCCAACCACATATTCCAAAATATGCGTTCACGTACAAGATTAGAATCACTTGTTATGTTCACGGTCATGGAGGGCCTGCCCTCTGCTGGCTCAGGGATAGAGGGAAAGAGAATGCTATTGCCCTGTCCTACAGCTAACTAATGTGGTGCCATGTGCCCGTGTGACGTGGGAGGCACCATCTCTGTCCTGGATGTGCTGGTCTCTTAGTAATATACCAAAGGCATATATGTACCTGCCCTGGTATTTTTATTATTTTTTTTAAGGCATGTGGAGGGGGAGTCCTCTGTTGCTGTGATAACTTGAGGTGAAACGTTGTGGTGCGGGGACTACTATGGCTACTATAGAGATACAATCCAATAGAAGGATCATTTTAAAAATAATTCATTCAAACAGGCCCTTTTGTATGGTTGATCCAGATTCCCCTTATCTCTGAGATCCTTCTCAGCTTACCTGGAAAGGAAGAAGTACTGTTTACCACCCTGACTGGTGAGCAGACCAACCCTGATTGACCTTGTCCATCAGCTTTGGAGGGCTCGATTACTCAGGGGTCACAGCACCAACCCTGGACAGAATGAGTTCCATTTTAGCTCTTTTTGCTGACTTGGTAACCTGATTTTAATTTATMTCACATTTGTTACTTTAAATAATTTTTTCTATTTTACTTCTATTTTTTTTTTTTTTTTGCATTACGGAGAGATAATTCACCTGTCATATAGTTCACCGAATTAAAGTGTACAATTCAATGATTTTTAGTATATTCACAGATTTTTTTCTACCATTGCCACAATTGACTGTAGTACATTTTCATTATCTCTTAAAAAAAAAAAAAAAAAAAAAGTTCATGCCCACTAGCACTCATTCTTCATGTCCCCTTCCCTATCTTGGGCAAGTACTTGTCTATTTTCCATCTCTCTGGTTTGTTCATTCTGGACATTGCACACAAATGGGATCATAAAATGAATGGGCTTTTGTGACTGGTTCCTTTCAAATAGCAAAAGGTTTTTAAGGTTCATCCACGTTGAAATGTGCATCAATACTTCATTCTTTTCATTGCCAAATAATATTCCCCTGTATGTATAGGCTACATTTGTTTCTCTACTCATCACTTGATATTAYTAGCAGGTTTGTCTGGATAGTGGATATCCAACTGGATAGTGATGATTTGACAGCAGGGATCCTTGACACTTTCCATATTCCCCAGAAGACTTACTATTGCARCCTACAATTGGGGGGAAATCATGTATTTATTGGAAGATTGCCTATTGATCATAACCATAGTGTTCCCCCCACCATGGTGACTGTTATAAGTCTGTGCACATTTCTTGCATTCTAAAGGTTAGTAGCAGAATTATTTACCATCCCATTTTCTCTGGTTGTGAATTGGAGATGACTAAATGGCTCGTTTTCTATGTTTAGGCTCCAGATGGTACTGAATCGCAGTCAGTCAGAACAAATGAAAACAAATACCAAGGAAAAGATGGTATGTTGGACCTGTTCTCTTTTTTTTTTTTTTTCCTTTTAATTGGGATAATAAACAGTTACAACCTTTTAAAACATTTGCCTTCAATTCTAGTAAGCAAGTTCTATTACTAGTATTAGGTTCCAGGTTGATAATTATATGAAGTTGAGCATATAGTTGGCTGTTTTTTTTTTTTTGAACGTATATCCCAATCTGATTCTACATTCATATATTTATGTTCCTGAACAGTTAGCATGTGCAGAGATGTTTACCTCATTTAATATACTCAAGAACTCTGTGGCCAGGTACCTTGGTGCATGTCTGTAATCCCAGCTGCTCTGGAGGCTGAGGCAGGATCATTGCAAGTTTGAGGACAGACTCCACAGCTTAAAGAGACTCCTTGTCAAAATAAAATTAGTAAAGGAGCTAAAGATGTAGTTCAGTGTAGAATACCCCTGGATTCACTCCCTAGTACCTTCCAAAAACAACAACAACAACAACAAAGAAAAACAAGAGCAAAAACTTGGTGGTAGGCACTGCTCTTGAGCTGTTTTCTCAAATGAAAATGGGTTTAGAGTTGTGAATTCCCTTTCTCAAGGTCATACAGTTAGAAAGTCAGAACCAATAAATTTGTTCTCAAATGGTTTAATTTTCTGAAAATTTAAAGAAACTTAAAAATATTAGTTGATTGAGTAATTGATTATAATTCTTTTTTATACTTTTTCTCTTTGGATATTCAGATATGAGTTGAAAGTTCAAAGCATGGAAAAAAATAAATATTAAGGCTTTGTTAGAATTTATCAAGAAAAAACGTAGTTATTTGTTTACAAAAAAAGAAATGTGTTCTAAATTAAGGTCATAGGTTTAAGCTTAAAAATATAGTTCTTAATTGTTATCACAARGGTAAACTTCATTTTCTCCAGTCTTAACATCTGGGACATTCACACTGTTAATAGTGTTGCAGTTAATAGTTGTTGGAGATGGGGACTGGGTATCAGGTAAACTTAGTACTAGGAAGTGTTCCTAATATTCCCACAAAAATCCTGCATTAGGCCAGGCATGGTGGCACATGCTGTCATCCTAGCTACTCAGGAGGCTGAAGCAGGATTATTGCAATTTTGAGGCAGGCCTCAGTAAGTGAGACCAGTTATCAAAAATCATGCATTAGGCTTACATTGTATGAGACGTTTTACAGTGAGCATCCAGCATCATTTTCTTTCATGTTTTTTCAAAACTTTTCTCCTGCACCCCTACCTTAAAAAAATGCACACATGTGCTGGTGTGTAGGTCTGTGTACACACACAYACACACATATTTGTAGCTATAAAAACCCATGCTCCATCAGGTATGGTGGCATATGCCTGTAATCCCAACTACATGGAATGCTGAAGAAAGAAGACTCCAAGTTCTAGGSCAGTCTTGGAAATTTAGGGACACCATGTTTCAGAATAAAACTGTACAAAGTGCTAGGGTGTAGCTCAATGGTAAAGCACCACTGAGTTCAATCCCCTGTACTGGGGGTGGGGAGGGGATGCACTTGCTTTTTCTCGCTATTCTGTGATTTTTTTTTTTTTTTTTTTTGGTAGTGCTATGTGTTATTTCAGAATGAAATTCCTAGTGTTTCCTCTARTATGTGTACCAGCAAACACCAAAATGACAAGCCAGCCAGCATAGCCATCTCTGGCTTGCAGGAAGGCCGAGTCTTCTGGAGAGACAGACAAACCTTTGTGCCAGTGTCATTGTGCTTTGGGCCTTGGGGAAGAGTGACTGGCAGTTGTTTAACAGATACTGAGGACAATATTGTCCTTGCTTTTTGTTTTTCTCCATTGTCAGAGATCATAATGTAGGCTATATCAACAAAAGTTCTGGAAGACAAGTTTGTTATATAAGCACTTTCCAGCCTAAACGGCAGCAGGCAAGGGCAACAGGACTCAGTCATGCTGCCTGGTTTACATGTGCTTTCATTGGAATGCTAAGCAGTGGGCATTGAATGTCCAATAAGAACAGCAGAACCTGTGAACCCCTGTCCATGGCACCAAGCAGTGATYACCACACCTATTCTGGGCACTAGCCAGGGAGCCAAGAGTGTTGTGTAAACAGCAGAAGGTTCAGTATGATGCCCATGGAAATTATGGCTGGGGTTCCAAAGTAGGGCTATTTCTGGTTAAGATCTGAAGGCATGGGTGACATAGTCTATTTTAAGTATTCTCCCTACACTTGGGTTTTCAGACATGTTCAATCTGTGATACTTATTGCAAATTAAAAAGTTGTCAATATGRAGATTGCAAGGGTTTTCACATTTCAAATGAATCCATCACTAAGTATTCACCTAAACTTTTAACCAAACTGGACAACTCTATGAAAGGGCAGTGATTGTTTATTTGGGAATTACATTTCTAATTTTTAAAAAACTTTCATATTATTATGTATACTTTCTTCTTTTTTTAAATTTCCATGGAAGAAGAGTCTTTTTTAAAATAAAATATTTCTGAATATTTTGAACAATTAAAACACTTTGGGGAGATTTGCAAAATATTTGTAACCTAGTGCTATTGTCCTTTTCAAAACCCAGGGAAGATAAATTAAAGAAATTTTGTTTTTTACATTTGAGAACTTTAGAGTGCCAAAAGGTCTACTTCAATATTCTCTTTTAGATTTTCTCTTTTGAGAATAGATATCACTTTTCTTATCCAATTAACCACCCATTTCCTGTAACAGTGTCCCTATAATTATTGATGTTATTGTCACCATAATTATTTTCCTGAAGGTCTCCCTTAACTTACCATTAAAACTGAGTCTTTAATATACTTTATTTTGCCTTGTTTCTAGAGGAGATTCATATATTTTAAATGTGTTCTAATTTAAGTAGAATTACCTATTTTTGAGTTTAACACAGTTCATTTGTATTGGGTGTATTGTGTTGAGAAGKGTAGTTTTAAAATTTTTGTTCACAGACATTCAGCTGCTGAAAGGGAGTTTCTAATTTAAGAAAATAGCTAATCATTTTTTTTCTTAGAATGGTTTCCTAGGAAATCAATATACATATTCACAGTAACACATAAAGCCAAATAAACCAATGGGAAAATAGAATTGGGCTTTGGCATTTGTTACTATTTTTAGAAACCATAAAAACTTACAAATATTTTAATTTTTAAAAAGTTATTGCAGGCAGGCTGGAAAAACAAAGATGGTAGCAGATGTCACCAATAATATTAATTAGCTTTAAATTCATTCTTATTTTTGGAATCAACACAGATAAATGCTTATTTTTTTTTTTAACTGTGAGATGCCTCTGGGCCAGTTGGACCAATGCAAACAGAAAATGTAGGTGGCTTATTCAGATTCCAAGGTGGTAACAATGAGTATTAAGCCATGGGTAGAACCTTTCTGAGTTGGGATCCCCTCATGACTGCACAGGAGCCCAYTCTGCTTATATAATGGGAGTGAATAAGACTAGATTTGTATTTATTTCTTAATTTCATTTTGATTAAAAGAGGTTTTTTCAAAATRACTATAAATGCAATGTTTTTTTTTTAAGCAGTAGACTTTTAATACCAGTATGTATATATGGCATGCATTTTCATCTTTTTAAGTTTGTCTTCCAGCAGTTTGTTCTGCCACTATATGAGGATGTTAGTATAGAGCTTATAAATGAACTATGTAAGTTATTTTTTAATTCAGAGCTTCTTATCATGATTCAAACCTCTTCAAAGATAATGTCAACAATCCATCATTGGTGCCTGGGTTTTTTTTAATGTGAGATGTGTTAAAACCAAATATGTACCAAATAGTCAAATTTAGAAGTATTTTCTTCAAAGCTTAAAGTTTGAATTTTCTGGGGGAAGAGAAAAGTAGGAGTTCTTTGGATTAGGCAAAGGGGAATGAAGGGAAGGAAACAGAAATAGGAACAGGAAAGAGTAGAATGAATCCAACATAATTTTCCAGTGTAACTCCACACCATGTTCCACCACAAAAATGGGATCCTAACTAGAGTAAGTCATACTCTATCTACATATAATATGTCAAATACAATCTACTGCCATGTATATCTAAAAATGAACAGCAACAAAAATAAAAGCTTGTGTTTTCCTCAGAGGTTTTGAATATGAATTCTTTCCAGGAGGATTATCAGCAAACACACACAAAAAAATCAAAACCTCAAAGCAAAGTTAAATGTGTTACACTACATATCCTTGAAATGTTGATGTAAATGGATTAAACCTATTTAGCTAGGGTTGATAGTTGTAGGAACTTTTATGCTCTTTGATAAAATCGGGCTGAAAACCTGTTGGTTCCTGTACCAGTTACCTCCAGGTAACTGTCTGCCACAGTGAGTTTTTTGGCATTAGCTCTTATTTTGGAATTTCTACTATGATAGGTAGCATTCCAGAAAGAAAAAGCAGGGTGTGGAACAGGTTTATTCCAGGAATCTCTTCTAATATGATGAAATTAAATGCTAATTCTGAGAGATTACAACTCTTCTGACCTTTCTTTTGATTTTAATTCCTCAGTGTAGAATAAAATAACATGGCAACTATTAAGTTTGTGAGATTTTTCATCAAGAGTTTGATATCTCCCAGCTGCATTTTGTATTTTGATCCCATCTAAGAGCTATGTTCTCAAATATTCCACAATTGGACCATAGTTCCCAGTTATCCCTATCTTCTGTCTCCCTTGACCTCTTGATAGGATTCCTTGAATATACTTTTTACCATGAAAATAATATTCAATTTTTTTTTTTTAGTTGTTGTTGGACACATGACTTTATTTTTATGTGGTGCTGAGGATCGAACCCAGCACGTCTCATGGGCCAGGCAAGCGCTGTACCGCTGAGCTACAGCCTCAGCCCCGATATTTAATTCTTGAGGGGAGAAAATAGTAATGTTCTCAAAGATTTTTAAGTAGTCAATGTATTGGAAGTTAAAAAAAAAATAAAAATAAAGCAAGTATATGATTTGGGTCCTCTCCTCCCCCAGACCAGGCATCTACCCCCTTTGGTGATAAAGAGCTGATGCTCCCAGTGCCTGAGGACACACCTGCCTCTGAAACGGACATCAACCTGGAGGTGTCATTTGCTGAGCAAGCGGTCAACCAGAAAGAGGAGAAAACTCAGAAGAGTGAAAGCAATGATGCCTCATTACCTGTAAGTAGCATGTGTCCAGATGTTACCCATAGAAACATTTTTATCAGATTCTTATGAAAATTTAGAACCCAGGGCTAAGTTGAAAACATGATACAGCAGCACCCTGCCCTTCATTGATAGTCAACCCTTATTAATATATAGCCTTTCCTGTATCTTTATCTATGTATGCCTTGAGATTATCAAGGACATACAGAACAGCTACAGTACTTAAACTGAACACTGAAGAGAGAGCTATATTTAATAGAGAGTCATATTAATATTTCTCTAGTTGCTACAAGATTATCCTTGATAGCTTTCCCTTTCTCCATACCCATTAGAATTTGAACAAGGGATATTTTTGTGTTGGTTGTTTCATCTTTCCAGTTTTCTTGAATTGAGGTAGTTCCCCTTCTTTTCCTTTAACATTTTTGAAGAGCCCAGAGCAGTTTTCTGATTTTTGTCTGTTTCCTTAACTTTCTGGACAAAATGTTCTATGATCACCTTGTAATTTTTTCCCCTTAGACTTGAAAGTAGTCATGTCTTCAAAAAGCTTTGGTTCCTTTTAGCAGTAGATTATATTTAGAATCCCAGTTCTCTGTATAGAGTGTTCTCTTTGCTACTGAATACATATGTCCACATGCACATCTATCTATCTATGTGTATGTATGTAGATAGATTGTATGTGTGTGTATATAAGTATATATACATGTATACAAGTAGTTATTCAAATTTTACACATGCAATTAAAAGGAATAATAAAAATGAATCCTAGTCATCTCCCAGCCCCAACATTTATTGGTCCAGGGTCAATCCTGATCTAGCTATATCCTTATCTAGTTGTCTATTCTGTGTTATTTTGTGAACCATATCTGAATTATATTGTCAATATTTGTGTTGATAAAGTTTAAACATTTTAAAACACATGTTCATGTTGCCATGTGTTAAAAACACTGACAATTATTAATTTCAAATCTCTAGAACAGTGTTCATGAAATTTGATATAATTTGGATTTTATAAATAAATATAAGTCATGGTTGAACATAATGACTTTTTATTTATTTTTTCGATGTGGTGCTGAGAACTGAACCCAGTGCCTCACACATGGTAGTCAAGCTCTCTACCACTGAGCCAGCCCAACAATTTGAAATTTGATCTTTTTGTAGAGTTTGTTTGAGGACCAGGAACCAACGTCTTCATTTCTCTCTTCCCCATATTCCTCTTTCTCCCTCTGTCCCTCTATTCCTCTCATCCTTCCTCTGTTTTCTTTCTCCTATTTTCCTTTGTCTCTCACCTTTCTGTGTCCTCTTTTGTTCTTTCTGTCTTTCCATACATCCTACTCTCTCCCCTTCTCTCAAAATGTATTTGTTGAAGACACCTGGTTGTTAAGTTATAGAGAATTTCTCCTTGTGACTAATCCTATCCCTATGGTACAATTTAACATCTTCCATTGTTTTTATAATTGACTCTAAACGTATCYGTCTAAGGTTCAACTTCTCTGTTGAGATTACTTCAGATATGTGGTTACCTGTTTTCAGCAGGCGCATAGAATCTGGTTGTCTTTTGTTGGTGAAATTAACAGCTGCTGTCAATAATACAGTTTATTCATGGTTGGAAAATGCTGATGTTCCAATATTTTCATCTGTCTTTGCTTTATTACTTTGGGTGTTTCTTTTAAGAAACTTTTTTTGAAATGGTTACTTTCTCCATGTATTTACCAGTTTTCAAAATTTTTTGATTCCCTAGTATTTTTCCCCAGCAATCAATTACCATTTGTGTTTGTTTTATAAGAATAGCATCTTAACTCATGGATTCATACATATTTGATGTGATCCTAGATAAAGTTCCCAGGCTTATCTGGCATATTTTGTACTCCAGACCTAATATTGTGTTTTTCATCAAGAACCCCGATTTCATTTTGTAGAAACACATTTTCCTGTCTATGACTGGAACTCAAGGCGTATTTGGTCTCTGGGTTGGTCCTCATTTTCAAGGCTTTTCAGACATCAGGATAACATCTGTATCTTTCATGCTGACAATTGTGGTTCTCAGGAAATGGCAGGTGACATATTTAGAACGTCACTTAAAGACTCATCTCCTTTATTTCACATTAATGCAAAGAATAGCGATTGCTAACACTGCCATCAGTAACAATACAAGATAAGGTTAGCATAATCTAAACAGAATGAAGATATTGTTGACTACAACAATGGAATAAAATAAAATCTCTGCCCAAAGTTTCAAAACAAGACTTGCTCTACCATTTTATTCTGTTTTATAAACTAATTTGTGTTCACTTACCATATTGATTTTGTGCATGTCATGCCCCAGGTTTAAGAATGACATTTCTTTTTCTATGTTCTATATTTGCCAAGGAAACCTTCATCTGTTCCTCAGAGCCTACCTCTATACCTATGCTTCTTGTTAAGTCTTTCCTGACCATGAACTTATGTTACATAAATTACTTGAAATCTACTGATATACTATCATTAGCATGCATTTGATGTTACTAATTTGTCTGACTTTGTTTTTTACCTACATGCATCTTTTCATTTCTACAACCATATATKAAAATTCTGCATGCCTTCCAGAAGACCTAGGTATATTGTAAAGTTTCTGCGAGTCTTTAGCGTGGTTGATGGAGTGAATATTTATAATCACTACTCAGAAGCAGGTGTCTGAGCAGAAACAAACCTTAAGTTCCATTTTTACTCCTTGCTTTCCCGAGTCTGTAAATAAGCARTAGGCTTTATGTAATACACTATCCTGTTGACCGCATTTCATATGCACTTCCTTTTTCTTAAAGCACTGAGCAGGCTTTGTTTTAATTCTTTATGATCTCTCAGTAGATTCAGATTTCTGCTCTTAAATTTTGAAGATCAGGTTTTATAACCTTTTAGATGCTGTAGTTTGACAATTTAGCTACTACATAGTATATATCAGGAATTATGCTCTSCAATTATTTCATTCCTCTATCAAAAGATCTTTGTGAGGTTAAGCATTGTCCCTATTTTCTACATGAGAAAACCAGTTAAGTTACAAGGCATGCTAAGGCTTGACTTTGGTGACTAAGCTTTTGACACTTTTCTCTTGCTTTCCTTTCCAAGCTGAAGCTAGACTGAGGAGTAGGAAAGCCAAGTTCATCATTACTGATGAAATGCCTGCAGGCTACCTTGTATGGCAAGGCCTATAAAGGAGGGGAAGTATCAGGGAGCTCTCCCTAGCTAATTTATGAAACACAGGGAACCAGGGACCTTATATTTTTTGAAAATTTTTATTTCATTCTTTGCTTTAAGCACCGTTTTCAAAGGTAGAGGACTTTTCTGTTGCTGAAATTCTACTGTCTTCTCTTAACCAAGGAACTCAGCCATCTAGTCTATTAACTAAACAAAAATGACAGGAAACTTCATAAATATTTAAAGCAGCTGCTATGAATTAAACATTGGGGTAAAGAACTAACTCCTTCATTAAGTACAATGTTTAAATAAATAAATAAGCTCATGACATATATTGCTAGGTAAATCAAATGTTTGAACTAATAATATTTCAGGTTTCTCTAAACATTTACCTTGGGTAGTACTTCAATAATTATATTACATGTGTTTGGCTTATTAGCCCCAAAACAACTGATTTTAATGAAACATTTAGGACTGTTTAAAAATGTGTAAACGGTTGGTAAATATGGTTGGCTCAGCCCTTCAGAAAACAAAGTCATTAGCATAAATATAGGGCCGTGCATGAGAAAAATGTGACAAGTTTTGTGTAATTGAAAAAGTAAAGCTTAGTAAAAATTGCAAAATCAGAATATCAAAACATTGGTGTGGTGTTTGAGTATATGCTTTTCTTTCTGTAGTGTGAGTGTCCTCATTTGTTAGACCAGTGGCAGGGCTCCTGAAATGTGCCAGGTCTACGATACAACAGGGTTACAAGAGGTGATTAAGGTGTAGTTCCTGTCCTTGGGGGGCTCCCAGTCCTACATCAACACCTGCCAACCTACATTTCCTCCTGCCTGCTGCTTTCTGCCCTCTGCGTGCCAGGTGAATGYGGCTGGGAGGACTGGATTTAGTGAATTTGGGATTGAGGAGATCTGAATTTGCATCTGTAATTTTGTCACTGACCATGTGGCCACATTTAACCCTTTCCACCAGGCCTCATTTTCCATACCTACAACACCGCCATAGTCATTCTTACCCTTTTGAGACTTTGGCAGAATGTAGTAAAAAGTAAATATGAATCTTGTCATTTTTTTTCTTAATGGAAAATCATGAAACGTTGACATTATTTAAAAAGTTCTATGAAGAAATACACAGTGGTAATACTTAACCCTTTTTGAGTGCTTGTTATATGCCATGAGTGCCTCACCATAGCTTTATATGGTGGAACATGGCATTATTCCATCTTGCAGGTAAAGAGWCTGAGGCTCAGAAGTGGTGATATTTGCCCAAGGTCACATAGCTAGTAAGCGATGGAGACAGATTTGCCCCCTGTGCCCAGCTCCACATACTCACCCACAGTGCCCAGCACTATGGAGGCCTTCCACATCAGTGCTGGGAATTCAGTTAGGCTCCATCTTCCATGAGGTCTGTTCTTATTTTACTCAATATTTTCATAGAACAAATAGATTACTCAAAGCTAAGAGAGACCTTTTCTCTTTTTAGTGGATTTTTTTTTAAGGCTCTCAGAGTTGAGTTTGCTTGAACGACATTGGCCATAGATTTCAGGAAATAGTGTGACCCTCAAAAATTGTGGTCTCGCCACTGTTAAAAATTATTGAGGCCCTCAAAGAGGTTTTGTTTATGTGGGTTGCACCTATGGATTTTATATCAAATTAAGGAGCTGGGTGTGTAACTTAGTGGTAAATTATAGGCTTAGCATACTTGAGGCCTAGGTTCAATCTGTGGCACAAAATAATAAAACAACAGCAATAATAATAATGATAATAAATAAATTAGCTGGACATAGTAGCATGCACACACCTGGAATCCCAGTGGCTCAGGAGGCTGAAGCAAAATGATTGCAAGTTCAAGACTGCTCTTGGTAACTTAGCAAGACACTGTCTCAAAAAAAAAAAAAAAAAAGGTCTGGATTGTAGCTCAGTGATAAAGCACCCCCAGGTTTAATCCCTAGTGCCACACACAGTCTGTTTAAAGTAATTGCTACCATTAACATAAAAGCCCTTTTAAAAATGGAAAATAGCCTTGTTTTTTTAGAACTAAAAATTGAGAAGTGTGGCGTAGTTTTAATTTTAGCACATCTCTAATATTTGGCCTTAGTAGGTCAGCTTCTCCTGCATTATCTGTTGCAATGGTCCACATCGTTTACCATAGGAAAATTTCTCTGTGCACTCAGGAGAAAATGAAAGCAGGAGAGGCAAAACAGTGTCTTAATTATTATTAAAATTAATCATTCAACTGATATTAATTATTATAAAAATTGACAATTTTTGAATTAATAAGTTTGACCTCTAAACCTCTTGAAAAGAGTATTGGGGACCTGCATGATACCATGCTTTAACCTGCTGCTTATATTAATATTTAGGCCATGAGATGTTAATGACAAAAATCAGCAGAGAATAAAAGGGAATCAACTGAACATCTTTTGCAATTAAATGAAGAAGGCAAGGGTAAACCTCAACGATGTCATCTAATGAAAGACTTTTTTATCAGACTGCTAGAAAATGATCATTGGTTTAGTCAGCAAACAGGGAAGACTGCAGCATGTATTAAATATGCTAAAGAAATTCTTTTTCTTCCTCTTGTGGCTTGTTTTCTTATATATAATGAGTTTAATGTTAAGAGTACTAGATGATATTTGAGAAATGCATAAAACGGCTAATATCACTGACTTGCTTGTGGTCCTGAGTGGCACCTCTCCATTTTGGTGTATTCAGCGGTGAAAGTAATAATAACTAATAAGAGCAACCACATAAAAGTCGATGGGAAGTGGTGACGTTTAAACCACACAACAGCACTTTAAATTAGGTGGCTTCCTTCTTTTTCTCCTCCTCCTTTCTCTCTTCCCTCTCCTCCCATTTTGCAGAAAGATTAAGCAATTGCCAAATTGCATATCTGGTAAGCAGCTGGATGACTGGCAGGCCCTGTCTTTAAAGTTCATTCCAGCTGCTATCCCAYGCCCCGTAGCCTTTACCAACCTTACCATGTTTTTACTTACAGAAGATACACAAAGTATGTGAAGGGTACCTGGCACATTCTAAGCACACACTCATGCTGCTATTTCTCTTCTTCCTATGTATCCTCATCATATCACGTAATCCTCCTCTTCCACCCCCACCCCATTGATTATCCCCCAACTTCCAATTTTGCTTTGGGTGGTACTGGGGATTAATTCAAGAGTATACTACCACCAGCCCTTTTTATTTGATTTTTTTTGAGACAGGATCTCACTAAGTTRCCCAGGCTGGCCTCAAACATTCCATCTTCCTGCCTCAGTCTCCCRAGTTTTGAAGGATTACAGGCATATGCTTGATTAATCTTTGGTTCTTAAATAACCACTAACTGGTAGTCATTTTCTCTTCTGAGCTTACTCTCTTGATCTGTAGTATTGATAGGAGCCCTCCCAGTATATGATCTCATTCACTTTGTCAGATTCTGGAACTTCCACACCCTTTTGACAGGATCACTCACTCTGCATTCTGACTCGGAAAATTCTATCATGGCTTTCCTTGTCATTTAATCTGAGTGCAACTTCTTTATAGAGTTATGATTTTTTTTTCTTCCTGCATTACAAAAATGGTTAGATACTGTMAGCTTTCACTATATTAATGGTGTTTATTTTAGGATTTCAGATTGCCAAAAGATAAAACGGGCACCACAAAGGTTGGTGACCTTGCACCCCAGGACATGAAGAAAGTTTGCCATTTAGCCCTGATTGAGCTGACCGCTCTCTATGATGTATTGGGTGTCGAGCTGAAACAACAGAAAGCTGCGAAAATCAAAACAAAAGGTAACCTTCAAATAAAAAAAATAGTTAGATTGACTTTTAAAGCATCAAAATGGATTTTTTTAGCAGTATTCTTGTGGGCAGGTATCAAAGCAACATCTGCAAATACATCTGGAGTTCAGATTCTAAAACATTGCCTTCAAAAATTGAGTAACTTGATAAAAATATACTGTGTCTTAGAGACTATAGAAAATAAAGGCATAATCAAATAATTCCCACAGAAGGAAACTGTGAATCAAAGAATCATAACTTTATACTTTCTGCTTTGAAAACTGTATTTAAAAAAAATATATTTGTTTTCAAATTCAGATCTTGAAAAATGACTTTGAGCTGGTTGGTCCTAAATTATGACTCTCGCTTATCACTGGCTAGAAAATACTGGGGTAGTTAGTATTTTGTCCCTTTGTTCACTTACATGAGAGTTGTAACTACATTTTGAAAATATTTCTTATCCTATTAAGAAAATGTCATTGTGACATCATACAGTACCCCTAGATGATACTAATCCTATATATGTGTAGTTTTTCTTTTGTAAGCAGCTTGCTTTACCTATTACAGAAATAGAATTTATATTTTGTAGCATGATAAAGAATGAATAAGTCTTTGGTTTTTGTTCCTCTGGGGTTTTATTGGTCTGGAAATCCAGATAATTCTCTACTGACAAAGCTTTACGATGTAGGACTCTTTGTCCTCTTGTTTAACCTGAAAGGTGCTTCCTAAAGGGACACCATGAATGAGGACTATGAGTTGCTATGGTAACATTAGCCAAGGCAAGTAGTCACCTGGTTTAAATATTAGMGGCCGTTTCTCTGTAGGACTGAAATGTCTTTCCCTCAGATCCTCTGTCCTAGTGGACCCACGGTGGACTGCATTCCCTGTTCAGTTCCTAGGAATCTTCTAGCTTGAGGCTTGGAATGGTGAATTTCTGGGTTAAAAGGTGCTCTTTTTTTTTTTTTTTTCATGAGTCTCTTGTGGAGAAAGAAGACTTCACATGCTTTTCTAGAATCTCATCACAAAACCTGCGATTCAAAGATAGAAATATCATTGAAATAACTGAAACCTAGTCCTCATGATTTTTATGTTTGTGTTTTTTAAGGATTCCATTCTAGCAGAGAAGTATTGCTCTGATTAAAGCTATCACAGTTTCCATGGAACAGTAGAAATTCCAGTATTGAAAAAAAAATTCTTGTTGCAGATTATGGTCTTTTTGGTGTTTCAGTTGAACCCAGGAGCACTGTACCACTGAGCTACATCCCAGCCCTCTTCATTTAAGTGCTGAGACTGGCCTCAAATTTGTGATTTTCCTGCCTCAGCCTCTTAAGTTGCTGGAATTACAGGTGTATGCCACCACACCCAGCTAAAAAATARTCTTCATCGCTTATCTAAGCTGTTTACACTATATACTAGACACTTGGCATTCTTCAGTTACATTTTTTCTTAAAACTCAAACTGAAAAGTTACTTCTTGTGTTACTAGAATTCTTGTGAGTGGCATCTTAGTGTCCAATGTCTGTCCTCAGATTACAAGGTCACCCCCTTCTTCATGTTCACCGATGATTTTTATTTCCTCTAATGTGTGCCATAAAGGAAGTGCTGTCTCGTCTATGGTAATTCTCCACTTAGTGATGGGGATGAGGTGGAGGTTCTGGGTAGGAACTATGCTCTACCAAACTCAAGGCATATGATAGATAATATCATTTATAATTTTTGTAAATTACTATCATTTCTTCTGGAATGATTACTGACTATATTTWAAAAAAAACCCTACAGATTTAAAATTAAGAATACCAAATATCTACTGTTTTTTTTTAAAGTGGAAACATTTGTAGAATAGGATCATAAAGTTGGCTTATTTCTCAAAATGGCATTTATTGATACTTAGCTGTTTTGTAGAATGTTAAATGTCAATTTAGAAGAGATGAGTAATACTTGGTTTTCAGCCATAACTTTTAATTTGATTGAACTTTAGTAAATTGTTTGAATATTTATATGTTCTCATAGGAGTCTGTTTTTCCTTTTTTGTAGCAGTTTTCCCTTTACTAATTATTTCAGTGATGTTTTTGCAATCTTTAGTGTTCTGGTTGGATATGGAACATCCCCTAAAGGCACATGTGTTAGCTCGAGACTTGTTTCCCAGTGCTACAATGTTCATAGCTGGGGCTTTGGGGCAGTAAATAGATCATGAGGGTTCTGACTTTATGGATTAATCCATTGATGGATTCACAATKTAATGGACTATCGAGATGTGATGGAAATTTCAGAGGCTGGGCCTAGTTGAAGGGAGTGAGGTGTGCCTTAGGGTTCTGCCCTTGGGGACTATATCTTGTCCCATATTCCACTCTGTTTTCTGGCCATCATAAGGTGAGAGCTGTGTTCTACCTTGTCCTTATGCCATGATGCTAGCTAACSATGGACTGAAATTTTGAAACTATGAGCCAAATAAATCTTTCCTCCTTTAGGTTGTTTGTCTCAGGCATTTTGTCACAGTAACAACAAGCTAACACATTGTTTGTTGTTATATTTCTCCATAAGGCAGGGTCAGTTTTTTTATTGACCTATTTATACCTAATGGCCAGCCAAGTTTTGTCCTTTCCCTAGTAGGTACTCAATAAATAGTTGTCTAATTGAATGACAGTGTCAGAAATCTTATGCCTTAACATTTTTTTTTGTATTTATTATTATTAGTCAATTGATGGAAACAAAGACATTTTGTTTTCTTGTTGCAGATTCTGGTCTTTTTGGTGTTCCACTGGCCACATTGTTAGAACAAGATCAGAGAAAAGTGCCCGGAACTCGAATACCCTTGATCTTTCAAAAAGTAAGTAGGCCTTTTTTTTTTTTTTTTTGTACTCATACTATTATACTATATGCTATAGTTTCAATTGATAGTCTCTTTTACTTTGTGGTACTTGGATTTTCTATTCAGGAAGCAAATTTGTTTCGAGGGCTCATAATTTTTATTTCATGGTGATGCTTTCTGTGTTATTACTGTAACTGTGATCACCGGGCATCATTTTCCTGTCTTATATTAGCTGGCTTTGTATAATTGAGATTTCAATTCTATAATACATAGGAGTGAGAACTGCTTATAAATTTCTAGGGAATTGAATCTTCATGAATATTTCATGCCTGTATGTACTTCCCAAGCTTTCCTATTTACAGTGAGGATGTCCGATTTAATTTTCCAGTGCCTATGTCCAAAGTAGGCAAAGAAACCATAAAGTAGAATTAGAAAATGATTGCTAAACTATCAAATCACTTGGGTAGTCAACACTCAATTATTCATAAGGGGATTATCTATAGCAATAAAAAATTCCAGCCCAACCTCTGAGCCATCATTGCTCCTGAAGCACAGATTACATTTGACAAAAGCTAGGAAGCATACACTGAAGAAGGCAGATTGGATCAGTTGTGGACAACCCACATTATGGATACTTTGCAACAGTCCAGGCATATGAGTTTCTGAAATCTCTAGGGGCAGGAGAAATGGTTTCACAGTTGACTAGGCCAACAGACTCATCCAAACCTAAGGCTTAATCTTGGCCCTTAGTCTATGCCAAATTGGTCATTTCCCTGTCTTACCGACTAGCATTGTGACCTTTACTGCTCTTGTTTGCCATTACACCAAACCTGTGCATCTCTGTCTCTCCTGATGAACATTGTTGTGTGGTTTATCCTACTCATCAGCTTCTGACAGCCACTGCCTACAGAACCTGTATCTGTATGAATAGTGGTCAATGCTTCCTGTGATTAATAGAAAGAGGGTAACAAATATAGGTTACTGACAAATTCTTTTAGTCTCAAGAAAAGATGTAAGTCTTTATAGACAAATGGCTTCTCAGAACAGGAATCTCGGCAACATGCTTCCTAGGTATGTTAGCCAAGGCTCTGCAGAGAAACAGAACCATTGGGATTCGTGCAGAAAGATAAGAAGTGAATTACTTTGAAGAATTTTCTCAACTAGGTATGGGTGCTAGCAAGCCTCAGATGTGGAGCAAGCGGTCTGGACCCTGGGGTGAGAGTTCATGCTTCAGTCTTGAGGCAGAACTTCTTTTTTGGAATATCCCAGGTTTTGCCTTTAGGCCTTCGATTGATTGGGTAAGGCCCTTCAATTTCTGGAGTGTTATTTGCTTTACTCAAACTATGATTTAAATGTTAATAGCATCTGAAAAAATCCTATCCCTGCAACATCTTGACTGTCTGACTGAATAAATGGACACTGTAGCCAAGTGGACACACAGACATCATCATACCAGGGAAGTTCTGTGAGCCTAGGTTTTCATAAGGTTCAATGATGCTTCCTCACCAGGCTGAGGATGGTATCCGGTCCCTTGAGAAAAATCTCCCTTTGTCATTTCTCTTGACACTATTTTGTTGTCATTGTTGTTAAAGTTTATTTAGTTACTTTTCATTATTTTCTCTTCAACATTCTCTAGACTCTGGCAGCCTGCTAGTATGAAGTATTGGTATAGCTCCAAGCTTTTCATTCATATGAAGAGTTTGCTTTTAGGTAACACTCATCTGCTTGTGTCCCCTCTGAACAGTAAGCAGCAAATCACAGTGGTCTGTCTTGAGAAGTGCCTTTGGATTCATCAGCTGGACAACTCAATTGGGTCTTCTCTCTGTTTTGTAAAAGGAAAGAAATAGAAACCACCGATCTACAAAGAGATTCATTACCAATCTTCAGAGGATTATACTTTTAATGTTTGAGGAAATATACCCCAAAAAAGGCCACTAGCAGAGTGTATCCACTACCATTGAGTTGTTATCTGGTATTTATTTATTTTTTCCTCAGAGGCACTTGGTTTAAACCATATTCTCACAAGGAGTTGAAAAATAAAATGTTGTTAATTTTAATTTAATGGAAAAAGTCCACTTTATAATCTAGTTAGCAGACCCCGTGTTCTTACTGACAAACTAATAGGCCGTACTAGGCATACTTTGTGTCAAAAAAGCCCGAGTTCATTTTTCAGTTAACATAAATCTATACTATCTATTTTGAGAAATGCTGTGAATTACTGATAAATTATAGAACATGAGATAAATTATTAAAACTAGCATATTCACTATATAGATCAATATTATAATTTTCTATCTATTTTAAGTCTTGAAAATTAAAAGGAAGGCAAAATAGTATATTTTAATAATGTAATAAGCGATGGTGAAAAAGTGTGAGAAATATGAAAATATGAAATTCAGATTGTATACACACATGATTCTGTCAGATGTTGGAATTCACTTTTTGAGAATAATAAAAAAGTCTAGAATATTGAAAATTCAGATGTTGCTCTCATTTAGTTATTTAGAAGTCATGATCAATTTTTTGTGAATTTAATGAAAGTGAGAAAGCATAGAAACTATGCTTTTAGTAGAAACTAAAAACTAGTTTGCTTCAGAATCTAACATGGTTTTGTTTTATTGTTAATTTTAYAAGGTGAAATAAAATGAAAATTATTCATTGAATATTTATAAATCTGGTTTTAAATACTTTATTAAATTTTTTTTTAGTTTCTATCCATTGAACAATGTGGTTTTGAAAAATTTTCTGGTTTAATTTTTAAAAAATCGCATACTACTTCAACTGGTCAAAGATACTTCATCTAGTAATAAATCCTTAGGAGAATTTTGTGACTATTCTTTGGTTAATTCTTAACCCAGCTCCCTAAAAATCAGAGCATCCTTTAGCCACCACCTAGCCCAAGGATAGAAGAGGTGATGTCATTAAAGAAAAAATGCCATTGCTTCCAGTGTTCACATACCCTAATAGAACTGATTTCAGGTCAAAGGAGCTCTTTTATGACAACTAGTTTGGTTCTTAAGAGGCACTTTTTATATATAAGAGAAAAACAGGTCTAGGTGGCTTATGGCACCTTGGTTAATGATTAAAGGAGTCTTCCCTGAAAAACATTCTTTTGTACTCTGGAAGATTTTATGCCTTAGGATATGCTGAGAATGTTATTCTGAGATTACACATGAGGCAGACTAGTTCTGTCTGATGAAGTAAGAGAAGGCTAATGGGGAAAGTGGGTAGATTGTAGGAAGGGAAACCTATAGAATACTAATAAATGCATTGTATTTAAACTGAGGATGTGGAATCGATTTCCTTAAAAATAACAGAATACCTCCAACAATTTGTGTGCTGCCCAGGAAATGTGGGTTCTAGTTTTCTAATTGGAAGATCACCCTACCAAGAAACTGACCACTCTTGTCGTCTTTGTAGCTTTCAATAGTTTGTCACCATAACTTCCCCCATTTGCCTTACTTTAATGAGTTTTTGGCTTATAGTTTTAAAAATAAGGGCTGGGAGCAGAGGTGCTTTCCTGCAATCCCAGTTACTTGGAATCTGAGACAACAAATTGCTAGTTTGAGGCTAGCCTGGGCAAGTCAGTGAGACCCTGTCTCAGAAAGGACTAGGGATATAACTCGGTGGCAGAGAGCACTTGCCTAGCATGTGGGAGGACCTGGCTTTCATCCTTAGAAAGAAAACAAAAAGACTTTATTTGTGGGTTCCAGAAGAGAGAGCTATGTGTAATCATTGGCCATTGGTTTGATTTAAAAGTCCTGTTTAAGAACATTCGAGTTTATCATCAAAGACTTAAAAATAAATATTAGCAAACAAATTTTTTTCTTCATATTATAAGTAATTCTTTCTTGGAACAAACTAAAAATGTGATGTCATTGTGCAGATACTAGAATTTCATAGAATTTATTTTATTTCAGAATATGTTGCTGGAAAAACAGAAGAAATGGATGTTCTTGGTTGCTTTTAAACAAAGAACATCTTCGTTCTCTGTTTGTTTGGAGTACCACAGCTGTTGTGCGAAATTATACACTTCTGTTGCAAAGTAAAACCAGAGCCAACTTTTTCTAAATTATAACTAGTTCTTGGACTTATTGTTTTGAATTGTGGTGGTGCATTAGCATTCAAAACCTCATAAAATCCAGTGTACATGTCATTGCAATCAGCTTTCATTTATTTATATATGAAACAGATGTTAAAATGTACCTGTTACAGATATCAAAATCGGCATGTTTTTCTGTTTATACACAGCTGATTTCTCAAATTGAAGAGGGAGGTTTGGAAACTGAAGGCCTCTTACGAATACCTGGAGCTGCCATTAGAATCAAGGTAGTGTAACCTTTTGGCTCTGTTAATGTACAATTTTATTGTTTAATTATACTTTTGCATTTTAAAGCCAACTTGTCCTCCCCACCCCTTATTGTTAACAAAGTGGATAAAATAAAACAATAAAACATCTTAACACTTCACTTTATATTTAGGTTTTCTACAATCCCTTCTTCTTTTATAAGTTTTTATTTTTCAAAATTGCCATATTAATAACACTAGTCTAAAGAGAACATGATGACTCAAAATATTAATAGGGGGTAGTGGTGATAGGTTTATCAGGATGAGTAATAGCAACTGAGTTTTTTATTTATTTTTACAGGAACATAAGACTCTGGCACAGTATGGCCCTTGACAATAGTCCCCATACTTTGTTAGTGTTGGTGAGCTGGCAGAATGAATGTCCCAACCACACTCCCTATTGTCACAGTTCCTTTTCTTTCCGTGGCCAGCTGATGCAAGTCTGGCTGATAAGAGGCGAGGGGATTCCCAGACTTCCTAATTTGGATCCCCATTTGTCCTTACCTTTTCTTTTCTCCTTGGGGTCCTGTGCATCCTCCTGTATTTAACTCTGTGCTCCAACTCCTGTTCTGGGAGATAAAACTTCCAGTGATTGCACAAATGACCCTGCAGGCAGAGTGTACTACATATGTCTCCCACAAGACATGCGTTTTAAAGAGTTCCTTTGGAACTATAACTACGAAATGTTCGGTTAGCAGTCATTTACTATCTCTTTTACCCTATCTTTCAAATTCAGCTTTGGCTCTAAACTGAGATAGCACAGAGAAACTGCTCGCATGCTAGATATTGTCTGACTGAATTTGAAACTCCAAGAATAAATAAGATCAAGGGAAGAGATCTTCTCTGTTCATTTCCTTAAGTCCTATTATCCTATTTGACAATTTCAGAGCTGACCAGGATGAGATGATGCTCAGTGGGTGCATGCTGCCGTTGCTTGTCATTGCTGGGCTTTGGTGCTACTAGGATTTGGAATTACTATGCATGTATTCCAGTTTGCATCACCTAGTGATAAGTTTCCTTATTCCAAGACACTAGATTCAGCCAACTTGGCTCTTCCTACAGTGATCTCATTTTAATAGGATTCCAGTAATGTGACATACCCTGCTGACAAATTTCAGCTTGTGTCCCCTGGGTTTGATGTCTGGTACATAGAGGTCCCTGGAAATGCTTTGCCTTGTTTGTAAGTTTGATAACTTGCCGATGTCTTTCTGCATTTATGAACATCTACGGTGAGTTCACCAGTCARTCATGGGCATTGTGTGTGATTCAGGGATCAGCTCTTGAGAAATGGGTTCTCTTACAAAGGAATGGAAACAGGTAATGTGGCTTCATATTACTTATGTCATCACAAGTAGTGCTTCTCAGTTGACAGTTCAAAGCCTTTGGGCCCTCATGAGCACAGCATGATGGCAACCCCACAGGATCCAAGACAGGTTGACTTTAGTACGGAATAGTGAATATATGTGGATTTTACTTTGTGATGGGAAGGCTGGCAGAAAAGACAACTAGATGTAATTTTTACAATGTCCAATTAAGTGGATTCAGCTGGGTTAACCCAGCCTCTTGTCATCCACCAGATTATGCAGCAGCTGGTTCATTACAAATAATTTAACGATAAGAACAAAATTTTTGCTTTTCTCTTTTCTTCCCTGCCTTACTGGTTCTTCCTCTGTTTTTCCTCTTTTCCTTCTCCTCTCTCCTTTTTCTGTTTTCTCTTTTCCTTCTCTCCCTCTGCCCTTACCTCTCCATTTCTAACTTTACTTGCATGCTTTTCACTAATTATAAAAATAACGAAGGTTGAGGATGGGGTTCTGTTGGGAAGAGATAATGTGATAAAAGTCACCTTACAAGGAAAATAAAAACCATCTTGGGGGAAACTGGTTTCACCTAATAGAAGGAAGTAACAAACTTTGACATGCCATGATGTTTATTAAAAAAAAAAAAAATGTCTAAAGTAGTGATCATTAAACTAAATTGACTTATTAGTTGTAGTTTGGCCAGCAAGTTTTGCAGAGTCTGTGAGGTAAATGAGTAGGTATTTCCAATTCTAAGTGGACTCTGAATTCTCCCTTGAGTTAGTTGAAAGCAGAATGGCTGCATTTGAAGACGGGTATATTGATGTATTTTCATGCCTTGTTTGCTATAGGATTTGGTTTTCCATTTCCCAGAGGTGACTAATCAGAGGTGATCTTCTGCTTTAGGGTGCAAAGATTGATTATGCATTTTGTTACACAAATACACTTCTAARTAACTAATTGTCTCTTTTAAGTGATTTGTTTTAATATGTTGAAGAATTGTTGTATCTAGGTGAAGCCCCTAAATGGAAGGACTATTTTAACTTAACTAATTTTTATGTTCTATCATTATTAAAGTTTGAGTAAACTTTTTTTTTTTTTTTAAATCTTGGCCTTAGGTACAATTTCTTCTTAGTAAAGTAAAACTGGGGTGGAGATGGGGATAGTATTTTTCTGAGTAACGGAAGTATTGACTTTTGATACTTCAATATGTCAGAGTGGAATTCTTGTAAAGCAGAAAACATATCACTCTCTCAGCAGGGGAAAAATGCACTTACTGATAGCCATCCTCCCCGCCCCCCCCCTTGTGTCTTTCAGAATCTTTGCCAAGAACTAGAAGCAAAGTTTTACGAAGGGACATTTAATTGGGAAAGTGTCAAACAGCATGACGCAGCCAGCCTGCTGAAGCTCTTCATCCGGGAGCTGCCCCAACCCCTGCTCAGCGTAGAGTATCTCAGAGCCTTTCAGGCTGTGCAGAGTAAGTGCCATCCCTCTTTGATGCTCGAGCCATCGATGTTGTTTTAAATGCATTTGGCAGGGTGAGGCAGCTAACCAGGTGTACCCAAGTAGACACATTTTGACTCACAGGATGACAGTAGGTGCTCTAATACCTCAGGCTGTTTCCCTTTTCTTTGACAAATATACATGTCTGCGTAAATAGGCTACAGGATGTTCTCTTTGGGTACAGGTTAATTGCTTGGCATTTAAACAATACAATTGAAAGTTAAAACCCGGAAACTTAAGTACTTCTCTAATAGGAGTTGCAGAAGATCTCTGATGCGGTTTTTTTTTTTTTTTTCCTTGCCAAGTGTTAAAAGCAACACTTACAGGAGAAGCTGTGGATTCACAGTTGTCATAAAAGCACAAGGAGATGTGGTAGAGTCTGTGAGCATTTTCCCTGAAAAATTAAATTTGGAAATTGATGTGAGGAAGCATGGGACAGAGCACTTTGCTGCTTCATTGGTGGAGGACACAGACTAGTTGTGTGTTGCAATTTTGTGGTCTTGGTCAAGCTCCAARTTAATGTCTGTTATAGTTCTTGATTCCCTTTTCAGGGAACACAGCGATCTTATAAGGGTTATGTACCGGCACAATTATCCCTTTTACTCTGAGAGTCCATTAAAAAAGAAAGAACGCTGTCAACATGTTTAAGCAACCATATCTTTAGCTTCCAGACTGGGACACTTTTGAGTGAAAGAGGGGCACTGTTAATAATTATGGTGAGCTACCATGTCAATCAGAACGGTTCCAGGTTATTCTTAAAGCATACAATATTGAGATGAATTCATGAGTCATTTTGTACCATAATATTTCTTCAAAATTTATAAGGGAAACATGAAATATGTTTAGAAGTATTTTTTAAACAGATTTCATCTTTAAACAGAAGAAACCATCTTCTGCTTAAAATATTTTTTAATGGTTAAATTGTGTTATTTTGCATACATCTCCTGAATATGGATTAAAGGACCACATATATTGTTGACAAATGCTGGGATGATTCTAAATGTACATAAATACTACTAAAATGGGATGAGGACTACTGAAGATCATAGATTCAGTGCTTATAATGTAGCTCTTAGATTCTTTTAGTTGCTGTTTGGTTTCCTAACTCATTGCACAAACACATATTAAACACCAACTGTGTTCCAAGACCCTGTTTTACTTATTCCTGTTGAAATTAGTGGACTCTTCCCATGTTATTTGTTCACTCACTATTAAAAGAAACACAAGATGCACCCTGATGCCATGTCATGGAAGGTCCGATCTTCTGTGTCTTTTCATTGGGGAATAATTATCTCACAGAAGTTAAAATTATTTCCAAAGCACTGTTGTGTGTCTGCAAACATAAGGCCGCTCGTCATATGATCACAGTTGGAAGTGAGCATTCTGAGGGAGAGGAAGCTCTTGGCAGCTGCTCCACTGATCTCCCACAAACTCTCTCAACCAGGCTTGCTGCTCAGTCGTCGTTGCATCTTACATTTTACTGTAATGTTTATGCCAAATAACTTTCTTGCCTGAAAAGATAAAGAAAAATATTCAATAAAGAAAAGAGTTCAGATTTGTCTAATCTATCTGCAGATCTTCCAACCAAGAAGCAACAACTGCAGGCTCTGAACCTCCTTGTCATTCTCCTGCCGGATGCAAACAGAGACACACTGAAGGTCAGCTGGGATAATTTACATTAAATATCCCTTAGGACGTAGCATAGTACAACAATGTGATGTTTACCTTGGAAAGATTAGTAGAAGTCTAAAAGGAAAAGACTTYTAAGGACTGATGGGGAGGGAAAGCCTTTAATTCTTTATTAACTTATTGTGTTGGTTGTTGTTCATATTACTAGGTTTTGCATTTTAGGTTTTTCTATAACATTTCTTCTACCAAAACAGATGATTAAGGTTCATTTGATTAATGGAWACAATGGATATCTTTTTGTTTCCTATTCTACATTTTCCAAATTCTGTTTAATGAGTGTGTATTAATAAGGTTAATAATATTTAAAATGAAAATCCTAAGACTCACTAATATAAATAYAACCCACTATTGCCTAAGGATGTTAATCTTTTGTAGTTCCAAAAGGTAGAGTTTTTGAAATAAGTTGTTAATGGTGACTTAAACTATTTGTTAGCCTAAAGATAGACCAACTCAAATTCTAGTTATTTCTCTAAGGGCTTTTTTTCTGATTTATATAATTTTGAAATGATTTGTTCTAATATTCATATGTTTTAATGCCACTTATTATAAGTGTTATTAGAGGCTCTTATAATCAGTATSAATTGTTCCACACTGATTTATTTTCCTCAAGGGCCAAAGTTTATGGAGTAGTTGTAAAGGCTTAATTATAAACTTTTATAAAAGAAAAAAGGAATTTCAATATATAATTTTGAGAGAATATTTACTTTAATTTTTGCCATTACCATAAAAATTGTTTTATGTAGGTAGAACAGGACCCTTGCCTTTTTATTCCCTGCATTTTTTTTCTATTTAAAGTTAAATATCATGTTGAGAAATTTCATGTAAAGAAAAATCATCATTTGGTCAGTCTTGAATTTTTTTCTGCATCTTATAAAAACTCTTTGAACTGTAAGTTCATGGGCAGTAGTTCTCTAATGCACTTGGAATGAACGTAACTATTCAACTTTTTTGGATAAAGCACTTCCATGAGGATGACTAGGGGCAATGCACTACCTCTCCAATAGGAGAATGTCTAAAGAGTTTTCTCCCTTTTCTATGTCAGAAACAAATCTTCTATTCTACTGATTGTCAAATGCATGACTTGGAAGGCAATATTAGGGTAGGTTTGGTTTTTGTGGCAGAGACCGATTCTAGGACTAGTTACACTCAGATATTGCCATAGCAGGGCTACTGTGTAAGAATGTGTAGATTGTTGCTGAAATGGGTCCAGGACAGAGTGGGGCTGATTTTCTGCCTGTCCTCTAATTACCAGCCATGCCCTTGATATAGTTTCCACTATGTAGGAAGATTGGGGAACATCTTTTTCTTACTCACATAAAAATGCCTGTTGGCATGACAGCCCTGTGAACAAGGAGTGGAAGGTGAAAAGTGAAATACACATAATTCCTTAAAATATAGATATATTCAAATAAATTCTCCGAGTTTTAGAAGAAAACGCTGATTCCAGTATGTTTGCTATTGGGCTGGTCTAGAAATCTTTGGACTTTACCTTCCAAGTCTGAGGCATATTCTTTTAACAATTGTGTTTAAAAGTGTATGTTTAAAATTTAGGGTTGATTTCTATTTTGCATGTAAATTTACTAGAAGATAATTTTATAATGGAGAAGGATTTTTTGATCAAAATTTGGGAGATGCAAATAAGTAATTTTACATATTGACTTAAGCTTTAGTGACTCAAATAGCCAACATTGATGGTTTCAAGCAAGAATTCTAATGGAAGCCTGTAATGGTATATCATAAACCATAAATTAATAAACTTTAAATTTACTTCTACAAAAGGAAAAGGAAACGCATTGCAATGTAATTTTAGGAAACTTAATGCAGAGTTCCTGTGATGTATCCAGTGCTTGCACTATTCCTCAGCTATCAGGAGAAAGAGAATCATGATGTGCTTTGTGTAGAGTATTTCCACAGCAAATCTACGGAGACACCAGGCATACCTATAAAGTGACAGGTGTCTTTGGGCAAGCTGCTTAATCAAAATTATTTGTTTTGAATTATTGTGCATTTGGACTCTTGATCATACTTACCTTTGATTTAGAGAATTAGAAGAATGATTTTAAAATATCAAGAGGAGGGGCTGAGGATGTGGCTCAAGCGGTAGCGCRCTCGCCTGACATGCGTGCGGCCCGGGTTCGATCCTCAGCACCACATACCAACAAAGATGTTGTGTCCGCCGAGAACTAAAAAATAAATATTAAAAAAAACTCTCTCTCTCTCTCTCTCACTCTCTTTAAAAAAAAATATCAAGGAGATCCATGTTAATATAATTACCCATATGTATTCTTTTTATAGTTGTATTATATATTTTGTCTCAATCCTTGCAAGCTAGGAGACTGAAATATCCATTTTACAACTGAAAAAAAATTAAAGCACAGAGATATAAAAGGATTTGCCCTAAGACCACACATAGCTAAGGAATAACTGTGCTGGGATTCAAATGCGTGTTTTCAGGAAAGGGAACTATAATGACTCATCACAAAGGAAATACTTTTTTTAAAAAGGACAGTTCTTAGTTTTTTTTTAAAGTTATCAGTCTTTTATTTTATTTTTTATTAGTTGCTCATGATAATACAATGATCTTGACATATCATACATTTGATTCAAATGTATGATAATTTCTCATTTTTCCAAGTGTACAGGTTGCAGTATCACATTGGTTATACGGCCACCAGTTCTTAGTTTGTGGAAAAAAAAAAATACTGCAGTTCTTTCAGCAAGGGGAGGCTAACATCTTATTAAATTTGTATCTTCTTTCCTCCTTTTTCCCACTCCCTTCCTCCTGCTAGATAGCATCCTGATATTAATATTTTGAATATCTTTGTGCGCACCATGATTAAAATAATTACCTATTTTTTTTTTTGTAATTTATACTCATAAAGAGATGCACTGGTCCCTAAACAATTGTTCTAGTCTCCGTGGAACAAAATCAATCATTTTCCAAACTTCAAATTTTCCTCTTGAACTTGTTTCTATTGGAACACTAGGCTTGGATTACAGATATTCTATATACAAAATCTTGCTAGATATTAAGTATCTATCTTTGTTTCAACTTTCCAAGGTCTATAGAGCAGCTAAAYTTAATGCAAGATCAACCTGTTAGTACTTAAGACTTTTTGTTTTTTTTCCTGAAATCTTGTGAAAGACAGTTTGTATTTTGTTTTGTCTTACCATTATAATATATTTGGTATAGTATACTTTTTTAGGTAGAAATTTTGGGCTAACTGTGCAAACATGACTGTTTTAGTCAGTTGTTGGGTCTAGAAACAAAGGCCAAATAGATCTTCAATTAAATTTCTTCTCCACATTTGTAGTTGTGTGAACTCTAGCAAGTTACTTAACCTTCTTGAAAACATAATTTTCTCCCCTGTAAGGTGGGGATAAGTACAACATCTGTCTTCTCTGAGGATCAAGCTGATCTCTGTACTGTGTTTTAATGCACTGTCATGCCCATAGAGAACTTCAAATTCCTGTGCATCGGTGATTATTCTAGACAAATTAAGAAGGCAAAAGGAGAACGTGAAGCCATGTCAGAGCAGGCTGACCTGAGCTGCTGGTGACTTTTGGGGAGGGCAGGTGCAGAGGAGACTGGGCATCTGCAGTAGAGTCAGAAGTGGGTAACATCTGAGAATAATCTAGCCTATTTGATTGAAAGATTCCCTTTCTTTCATTCAGTAAGAATTATCTTCCCCATTCATCTTTCCTCTTTTCCCTCATTCCTCGTGTCAATCTTTATTCTTTTTAGGTTCCAGTCAACTATTGAGTGCTTTCACTGAAGGCGAATGAAACTCAGGGTGAATGGGTCTTTTTAACATTTAAGTCCCAAGTTTTAATTTTGCAAATATAATAAATATTCAAATATTTCATTTACCATAGTATATTTGTTGCTCAATTTAAGTTTTTGTAGGTGTTCTACATCTGAGATAATGGAACAAAATGGGTTAAGGACATTTTTTTTTTCTTATAATCCCTAGAGATAAAACGATAGCACCTTCTAAAATAAGTGGATCTTTATATGATATTTTAAGCTCTTTTTCAATGCTCCATGGCTCCTAGAGGCTTAGTAGGTTCCTAGTTCAGATGGTACACTCTCTGCCTCCTGCAGACCACACAAGCTATGGTTCTTCACAGAAGCCAAGTACTGTCTCCGGGTGGACTGGCCAAAGGAAAAAGCTTCCAGAATAAGGACTTTGGGGTGTGGCTGCCTGACTGTGGTTTGACACATCTTAGTTTTTAAGTGACATAAAAATCTTGTCTGCTTCAATGCTTTACTCTCTTATGTACAAAACAAATCTCATGGTCATTTCTCTTTTAGGCCCTGCTGGAATTTCTCCAAAGAGTCATAGATAATAAAGAGAAAAATAAAATGACAGTCATGAATGTAGCAATGGTCATGGCCCCGAATCTCTTTATGTGTCATGCATTGGGTCTGAAGTCCAATGAACAACGAGAGTTTGGAATGGCAGCTGGGACAGCAAACATCATGCACTTATTGATTAAGTATCAGAAACTTCTATGGACAGTAAGTATGTTTTTGAACAGCATTAATGACCATAGAATTTCTTTGCATAATTATTTRTAATAATTTTGAACGTGCTTTTATGAAGCAGATATAAAAATGTAATGTTCTTTTTTTAATGGTTTAATAAACACATTATATTTTTGTTACCAGTTTTATAAGATTGTATTTAAAATTTGAGTGCAGAAATTAAAGGCATTTTATTCACACAGGTAAGGAGAACCTTGTGAATTTCTATTTTACTTTTTTTTTTTTTTTTTTGGGTACTGGGGATTGAATCCAGGGGTGCTCTTCCACTGAGGCACAATCCCAGCCCTTTGTATTTTTTACTGGTCCTTTCACTACCCCCGTAGTTCCCCATTTATAATTTTCCTTCCTCTCTGATTGAAAGGCCTTGTGCTAGGTAGGCAAGGACTCTACCACTGAGCCACACCCCCAGACTTATTTTATTTTGTTTTTTTAATTTGAAGATGGGTCTTGGTTGGCCTCAAATTTGCGATCCTCCCATCTTGACCTCTGGAGCAGCTGGAATTACAGGTGTATATCAACTTGCAAGGCAGGGTTATTGGGGTTTTTTTGTGTTTTTTTTTTTTTTTTGTACCGGGGATTATACCCAATGGGGCTTTATCACTGAGATACAGCTCATTCCTTTTTATTTTTTATGACAAGGCCTTGCTAAATTGTTGCAACTGGCTTCAAACTCGTCATCCTCCTGCCTCAGCCTCCCGAGTCACTGGATTACAGGCATGTGCCACCATGCCTGGCAGGAGCTGTTTTAAAGAGCTATTGCTATCTTGACTTCAGTTTATTCACTGCTATTTTTCATAGACCTATTATTTGAMGGGACACACATTTTGTACATTGATTGCTGAGACTGTCTTGAAAATGGTTTTTCCATTTCACTCTTGAGTTTAAGTTTTGACAGATAATCAGGACATAGTGATAGATGATAGGTTTAGTTGATTAAGACCTCATTTTCTAGTGAAATTTAGAATTTGAGTGAGAGGCATTTAGAAAAACAAACTAAGCAAAATTATAGTATTGAAAATTTTAATCTTTTATTGAAGGAAACCCCAGATATTTTGTTAAAAAAGCAAAGTGATATTATCTAGATTCTGAACTCTTTATTTTTATATTCTCTATAAAGGCAACTGATACAGGTCAGGTCAAAATGATTTTTAAAAATCATCCAGTTATTAAGTATTAATTTTTTAAATGCTAATTTTATTTCATGTTTATAGTTTGGTAACTAAAAATATATTTCATTGTCATTAATATGATTCTAAGGATCAATTTTTCCTGGATTATTGCTAGCTCCCTGTTGGCTCTTGTTGGTAAACTTTTCTTTTCCTGACAAAAGAGGCCTCTTATTAGAGGGGGACTGTAGGTTATCTACAGGGGCTGCAGAGAGGTGATGGCAAAGGAAAATTCGAAGTAGTGGCCTGTACTACTAATCCCCTAAAGGAGTCTTGGTCTTGATATTCATGGCATGGAAGAAGTCACTATGCCTTTGAACTTCACAAAGCCTCTTTGGAACCTTACACAATGGGTGGTCAATTTTATCCTGTGGTTGCTCTTTTTTTTAAGAGAATTTTTTAATATTTTAGTTTTCGATGGAAACAACATCTTTGTTTGTATGTGGTGCTGAGGATCGAACCCGGGCTGCATGCATGCCAGGCGAGCACGCTACCGCTTGAGCCACATCCCCAGCCCCTGTGGTTGCTCTTTATCATATTATTCATTTAGGAAATGCACATTATCTTTCCATAGATTTAATGACTAGTAAAAATGCAAAATTGCAGAGTCTTATTAAGTAGAACTTGTATGCCTCTCAAAATTCAATAAAGAAATGTTTGTAGTTCTAAAATGGTAACCTGTCTTTTTCTTCCCCAAACTAAATTTCTTTTTTTCTATAGATTCCCAAGTTTATTGTCAATCAAGTGAGGAAGCAAAACACTGAAAACCATAAAAAGGACAGAAAAGCCATGAAGAAATTACTAAAGAAAATGGCTTATGACCGAGAAAAATATGAAAAGCAAGATAAGAGTACAAATGACGTAAGAAAATTGTGAAGATCTGTATTTATTAGTTTGCATTTGTTTCTATAGTGAGACTTTCTATCACTTGCTAAGCCTTGGTACTACACATGAGTTAATGTATTGATAACAATAGCTATCCTCTGWTACTCCCAGTGATAAGTGTTGACAGCTGGCCAGGTTTGGTGACTCAGCATGTGACCCATTAATGGGGAGCAAAGAAATATAACAAGAATGAGCAACTCAGGACTCCCACAGAGACTCTGCCTACTGACTATATAGTATCTAGCAAGTGAAAAATCTCCTTCATAAACCATTTTTTWAAATTTTGTACTGTGGGGTCAAACCCAGGGGCACTTAATCACTGAGCTACATCCGTAGGCCCTTTATTTTATTTATTTTTAAGTTATAGGTGGACACAATATATTTTATCTTTATGTGGTGCCAAGGATCGAACCCAGTGCTTCAAGCATGCGAGGCAAGTGCTCTCCCTCTGAGCCACAATCCCAGGCCCTCTTTTATTTTATTTTGAGGCAGTGAAGCCCTAAGCAACTTAGATCCTAAGTTGCTGAGGTTGGTTTTTAACTTGCGATCCTCCTGTCTCAGCCTCTGAAGCCCTGGGAATACAGGTATGAGCCACCACACAGGGCTGCTAGTTTTTGATCTGTAAAATGAGGGAAAACAATTTAGACAAACTGGCTAATGTTGGTATAGGGCTTAGGATTGTTCTTGGACTTAAGTATCCAAAGGCTCTCAATTTGATCAGAAGAATTTTGAGTTATATTGTAAAGAAATTAAGACATTTTGAACAAAACATATCTCACTATCAGTATTTAGAAAGGTCTGTAAGAATGTATTGACCACAGAATTTGCAATAAAACGTGCGTGAAAACGTTTATGAATTGAGTTACCAAAGCTCTAGCATAGGATCATGAAATGAAGGGTTTCTATTGTTCTGTTGGGGTGTGAGTACACCCCTCGGCACCATGGTGGAGGTTGTCCAGTTACATGCTGACATCTTGTGGAAYCTTTTGAAAATGCAGTAATCGGCCTTTGTCTGCTTCTTCTGCATTGGCCTGCTGAGAGAGCTAGTAATGATATGACCCAAATTTTCTCCTAAATGGATATACAGCTTTCTTGGCATTGTGAAATTTTAAATAAATTTTCAGTGCCCTTAAAAGCACATAAAATGATATAGTGAAATAACAAGATTGTTCATTTTTTTTTTTTTTKGAAGTAGGACTTGATATTATAGGGCTGGGGAGGATTTTTGACAAATCATTTTTAACTTTAGAATTCTTTATTACCTTCAACACCATTATAAATATTGGATATCTTGTTATGTAGCCCTAATTATTCATATTGACTTTATAGCCTCGTCTCTCTATAAGGCAGTTATACTGTGGTACTGAGCCTTTAGTAGACCCTTGGGAGATACCTTTTTCATAGTAAGTCCTTAACAAAAAGTGAAAAGGTTATTTTCTAGAGGGAAATGTTTAGTCACTTACGGAAAGAGCATTAATTTTTATTTCTTCTGTTTGTACTTTTGAACTAATTAGATATAAGCTGGGCAGAAAATTATCTCTGCCCTATTGAAAAGCTATGTTGACATTTTAAGGCCTGAAATTTGAGTCTGGTTTTTCATATATTAGCTGTAACTTTAATAGTTTTTGGTTTTCCCTGAGTTTGGGTTTTCTTTGCTGTTCTACAATTTAGYTATTCACTTAACAAGATGCTACTGCTTTCTGGATGTCAAGCTCTTACTTAGGTTAGGTATTCAGAGGCAGCTGGTGCAGGGGACTTGCCCTCAGGGAGCCAGGAGAGGGATGTAGCTCAGCGGTGAGTGATTGGAGCAAGGTCAGGCTGGAAAGCAGACAGTAGACACCAAAGAGCCTACAGGGAGTCAAACTGAGATATGGAAAATGAGGTGTTACTCAGGAGTCACCAGACCTGATCTAACCCTCAGTGGGAGGTCTGTTTGACCTGTCATTGTGGTTGAGAGTCTTTAATCAATTTCCAGAATTTATTTTTCAAGTTGCTGTCATTTTTAATGGGGAGAGTAAATAGGCACAGAAAATACTGAAAAAAAAAATAAAAGTACTAGGCAAATTCAAATACTATAGATATATGGTGGGTCAGGCAGTRCAGAATTTTGCATAAGTTTCTTCTACCCTCCTCACATCCAACCAGTATCCATGTCCTGTGGGTCCCACTGGCTCATAATCTAAACTTCATTCTATTCCCAACTAGGCCTTGGCTCCATCCCAGGACTGTTTTAAAAGTTATATATAAAACTTCTAACAGCAGCAATCCATGTTCATTACCAACCATAAACTCAGCATTTTGGTATATTTCCTTCTTACAGTTCTGTGGTCCATGGAGAAGTAAAGTCCATGATTAAAAGACAACCAGATTTGGTTTCAAATTCCAGCTCCACGACTTAGTATCTGGATCAGCTTGTTAAGATTGCTGATTCTGAAATTGTGCTCTATATGTGTACTATGAATTGAAAGGCATTCTGCTATTATATATAACAAATTATAATAAATGATTTTTAAACACTGCTGATCCTCACTTTCCCCATCTGAGGAAAAAATCAAAGGAATATACTCCAACTAGACTACCATCATGATAATGTTTGTAAAATGTTTACCATCATGCCTGACCTGGTAAGCATTCACCAAAAATAAATAAGGCACTGTCCTTAACAAATATTGCAGTAAATTAGGTAAGTTGTTCRATAATTTTGCTAGGATGGCTTTATCAGCAAGATAATGTATCAAGCAAAGGGAACAGACTTGAAATATGTTTTTTATGTCTTGGGTTAATATGACTGTGTGAACTGACTACATGGGTGCAAAGTTCATGGAGCATCCAGGGGCGGAGGTGCCTAGAGATTGTAATGGAAGCCATACAGTGTGCTTCACAGCACACAAGCTGGATATGTAGAATGAGATAATAAAAGCATAGACAGATCTTTGGGGACACTAATAYTTAAGTAGTGATCCAATGAAGAGGGCAGTAGAGCTGGTAAGAGGCTATGAGGTAATAATATTTTAATTAGCTTTTTCTGCTACCGTGACCAAAAGACTTGACAAGAACAATTCAAGTAGGAATAATTTATTTGGGGGCTCGTGGTTTCAAAATTCTCAGTCCATAGATAGCTGGCTCCATTCCTCAGGGMTTGAGGTGAGGCAGAACATATGTAGTGTTGGAAACACTATGTAGTGGAAGAAAGCAGGTCAAGACATGGCCACCCAGAAGCAGAGAGAGCTCTGCTCAACCAAGACAAAATCTATACCAAATAATCCACATCCTATTAGTCTGTTGTTACCACCTAGTTAATTAATCCCTTCTAGGGAATTAACACACTGGCTAGGTTAAGGTTCTCATAACCCTATCATTTCACCTCTAAGCTTTCTTTCATTGTCTCACATGAGCTTTTGGGGAACACCTAATATCTAAACTATAACAAATAGGAAGTAAAATTAAGTTGAGCCAGGTGTGGTGGCACATGCTTTAATCCCAGCAATTTGGGATGCTGAGGCAAGAGGATCACAAGTTCAAAGCCAGCCTCAGCAATTTAGCAAGACACTCTCAATAAAAACGGGGGTTGGCGGTGGGGGGAATGTGGCTCAGTGGTTAAGCACCCCTAGGTTCAATCTCTGGTACCCCCCCCCCTTTCAAAAAAAAAGTTGAAGAATGTGTACTGTCTTAGAAGGACAGGCAGGAAAAGCAAAATAAAGCTGGGGTAGTAGTACCAATATGGCAGGGAGGAGGTGGTTTACGTTGGATAAAGGTCCAAGGGCTTTTGCATTTGAAGGTCAGTTATGACTTTGCCAAAGTATTGCTGGTGAGTATTGATGGCAGAAGACAGATTTCCAGGGATTGGAGAGTAAAAGATTATAGATCATGAAAATTCATTAAGGTAATATTTTTAAGATTTTGTATGCTATTAAATCTAACTATACATAATTGGGCATTCATGTTATTAAGATATGCTTGACTAGGTAAATTAATAGTTTGAGCCAGGTTGTAAGRCACACTCAATTTACCTAATAAGACAAATGCTTTTAATGACTACAGCATATTAAATACTATCTGTTATCATAGGAAGAAACAATTGGAGAAAATAACAACATTGTGAACCATTAAAAATAACCATTTGCTGATAGGTTTTGATTTGTAGGGATTGATGTGCCTCACACACTTAGCAGAAGCTATATGGCTTCAGCATACAGCTCTAGCACTGCCATTAATGAGTGCAAGTTATTTTATAAGCTAGGGTGAGATTAGTGGTGTTTGCCAGAGTTTTCCATGGAAGCATCTATAGTATATAGAAATAAAAAACATTGTTAAGCCACTCCTTAGATCTACTGAGTCAGAATCTTCCAAAGTGGGACTTGAGTATGTGAATTACATTGAAACTGTAAGGGAACACCCTTATTTGGTGTGTGTGTATATTTCCTTAATTGTACCACAGATCTTTTTTCTAACATGCACAAAAGTAGAAATTGCATGAATCCCAACATCAATAAAAAAATACATTTTTTCTAGATTCTGTCCTCCACATTTTYGCTTTTAAGAAAATCAGACATCCCATAATTGCTTCTCTGATAAGGATGTGGGGGCAGTTGGTTGTGAACTGCTAAATCTTGCAGGCTTGGATATCTGTTGTGGACTTTGATCTGTATGATCATCCACCATTCAGGCTTACTTGCCACAAGAACCGATACTTTTAGAAGAGCAAGGGACTTGGATATGTGAAATATGTTATGCTCCTCACATCTGACCTCACTGGTCAAGGAAACAAACGTTCTCATCGCATGGTTAACTGCAGGTTAACTCGGGATGGCCTGATGACACAAGCTTCATTTATTRCAGAGGAACTCAAGTTTTGGAGAGGTTATGTGACTTGCCAGAAGTTCTGGAATGATCTTGTAGCATTTTAAAGTTCAGGGCTTTGGGCAAAAAAAAAAAAAAAGTTGCGGCCACCAGAAGCATCCTCATGTTGGCTGCATGCAATATGGAGCCTTGGTTTGTGTGCCTGTAAATCACACCTCTATTCAGAATTCCATCTCTGGTTTTATTTAGCAGCTCTCACCCCAGAGCAGTATTGCAGGTATTGTTTCCAGCATCTGCTTTAGGTCTGGAAACAGTCACTTGGAACCATGTGGAAAATCAAATTACAATATCAAGCACAAAATCTTGTTTATTTTTATGCACTATTAAAAAAAAATCAAGGTGTCATAAAAACYACATTAAAAGAGAAAAATATCAGAACTTATTTCACTGGAGATTAAAATCTTATTAATTATGAAAGATATTAAAGCCCCTTTAAAATTGTCTGAACCTATAAGTTGGGGAAAAAGTTTGAGGCATTTGGATAATGAAGACCCAATTATAAGCAATCCTAGTTCAGGATAGTAGAGAATCCTGTCTATGTCACTACCTGCAAGTATTGTTGATTTTGACTAGGGTGATGAATATGCCATTTTTGTTTAAGATACCTTGCTAAAATGTCCTTATTTAATTTTCTAAAGTATATATCTGGCATTTTTTTTAAAAAAGCACTATTTCCAGTTCGCCCTTTTGAAGATGAAAGGCATTTTGTGTAGCATTAAAAATATCAGCTTTATAGTGTTTTAATGAAAAAGATTCTCTGATGATCTTGACATTAAATTTCTAGAGAGCAAAAATATGAACAAAGCCATATCTTAAATACTAAAATCATTCAGGCCAAAAACAGATTTAAAAAAAAATCTTAGTTCAATACATTAAAAAAGAACAATATGAGATCATTTTCCCTACTGTAATAGTCTTTGCATGCAAAAGAAATTAATACCAAGATATAAAATCCTTGGTAACTAAACCTTAAGGATATGTTAGTCAAATACTTCTCCAGAACTACTGTGCATCACATAATTTCATTTCATAAGCATCCCCTCCCCCCAAAAAAGGGGATAGTGTCACAGCAGTTACACCAGAGAACATGAAATAGGAAGGTCACAAAGATTATACTGTGCCCAGATTCAACTATTATTATGGCTTAAGTTAAGAACAGACTGTTTGGCTTAATGATCAGGCATGTTGTGTCTTTTCAAAGCTTGGCAGCTCAATGTAATTAGTATACTAATAGGATTCGAGTTTGATGCAGCATGATTCTGGAGCTTAATAGCAGTTGTCATACACCATTTAAACGAGAGCTTTGGCATCATTTATTGTTTATCATCTTCATGTAAATATCATTTTGGCCTCCCTTGTCACTATACTCTGAAAAACTTTCCAGAAACAACTTTTAAGCTCTCTATCATTACATCGACTGGCTAAGCTCATCTCCAACAGTAAAGGGCATGATAGATTCATGGAGTCGCTCAATCTCAGCATTGTTGCAAGAGTTGGGGTGGGATGAATTAAACAAACTGAGACTTGTTCCTCTCACAGACACAAAAGCCATGCACTCTTAACCGGTTTGACTACAAGTTCTCCAGTTGACCTGGGAAGTTGCTGTCTGTCATTGTCTGCCCAAATGAAAAATATCAATGTGCCCACTCTGTGAAATGAGTCGACCTTTTTACAGTCAGTAGATTGGGAAGAGTTAATACTGAGCCTGAGCTGGCCTAGCCTCATCCCCTGAAAGGGTGTGGGAAATGTTCTACTCCCAGCCATAAGGAACCCACTGGAGAATGCCTAGGCCATTTCCCACATTGGCAAAATTCAGCCCTGAGCMCATTATGTGGCAATTTCCTAACATTATAGACACAAAAATTCCCAAATGCCTTCAGAAGCTACTGCCTGWAGTCTTCCTTTTTCAAACTCCTATCAGAAAGACTTGAGTATGTCTGGTGGTAGTAGTGGTTATTGGACCCCATGCCTTGAACATGCTAAGCCTGTGCTCTGCCACTGATCCCTACAGGCCCTGCCCAATTCTCTGGATTGTGTGTCAGATGTAGTTCTCTTTTGGAAATTCTGACACCATCCTAAATCAGTGCTGCACTTTTGAGGAAACATAGCCACACTCTCTAAGGCCATAATCCCTGAATTCATTGAGAATGCTTAGGTCTATGCTTATTAGTGTAGGCCTTCAGCTCTCCTTGATCCTCAGAGGGGAAGAAGGCTATACCCCTTAATAAAGGAAAGCATGTTGGTAGGCTTTTATTTTGGAGAAATGCAATTTACTGTCAACCTATGATTTTTAGTGAAAAATAGTGATTCATTTAATCAATTAACATTATGAGTAGCTACAGCCATAGATATGTGGCATATATTAGAATGCCCATCATATGGGGTTCCATGTAAGACATTGCTTTTATCCTATGGATTATAGGAGAAGGGTGCATAAAGTATAGGCTGGCCTCCAAGTATAGATAGCAGAAATAGTCCAGAATTAGGATACAGCATGTACAGATAGGATAACATGTGGTGGTTGTAGTGAATTTTTGTTCACCTTTTTAACCAAACAGTGGAATACACACCAACAGTTGAGAGGGAAAGGCAGAGAATAAGGTTGCTCTATCCCCCAGTTCTCCAATATATTTTCCTGGTACATTTTTGTTTTGTAATACATTTCTATGGATCTTCTGTATATAAAAACTTACATTTTATTCACCTTAAGTATTATTGTAAGTTGGATTTTTTTAATATTCTTGGGCTGGCTAACAGGTAGTTATGGGACAATGTTTGCTACTATTACTTTCTTCAACTAAACCAATATGGAAGGATATTTTGCAGCCATGACTTAACCAGTATTTCTTATTAATGTCAGCATAAAGTATGTGGCTATCTGAAACTCTAGCCAGCCATTCAAGGCCCTGTACAAGATGATAATAATGGACTAAGGGAACTGAAAATGCCAGTGACATGTGTATTGTCCTGAGTGGACAAGGGGGTCAAGGGTCCTGTAAATACAGTTCAATGCTTCATGTTTTGCTATTACACTACCTGTTTCTTGTTTTCCATTTCCTATTGAAGGAGACACAGTTGAGGACAGGCTAGCAGGTAGAACGGTCATAGTAGGAAATATAAACTAKAGAGATTATCCCCGAGTTGTGTTGCAGCATTGATTTAACTGCTCTGCAAAGAAAAAGATAATAGTACCAGAGGAGATACCCCAGGCATGGTAAGGAATTGTTCAGCTCATTTTCTAGTATGTTGTAAATGAAAGCGATTTGTCAGTCAAGGAAAAGGTAAGTTAGATTTTTATCCTAGAGGTCAAGGTCAGAGAATAGACTAAGGTACTTGGGTCAAGTTACATGACCTAGGTAATAGAAGTCACAAAACCAAGCTGAGGGTCCAGTCTGGACATGGGTTGGAATTGTCAGGGGTGGGGAAAGCCATGCTCCCTGGGCAGTCAGTCCTCTTCAAGGTCACTTCTTTTTCTTTATTCCCACATGAAATCACTTATGTTACTGAAAAATCAATTTTAAGCCTTTTGAGGACACCTGTGCTTTTGTGTCGCCCGATTCTAAAGGCATATAATTGTTGAACATAGAAATTAATGGCATCTATGCTTTGTCTAAAAAGCATTTTAAGACATGTACATTTTTAAAATGTGATGTCTATGTGATTGAAGGACTTGTGTCTTATCTACTATTTGGTACTCAGATGCTTAGGAAAATTTTTGGTCAAATTAAATGGGGTAGTTGTAGTATTTAAAGAATTATCTTTAAACATAATTTGTGCATGCTGTTCTAAAGTCTGTTTAAGACATATGGTTATAAATAATAAATTAGTATTTATTTTAGTATTTAGTATTTATTTAGTATTTAGTATTTATTTCAAGTGCCATAACTGACATTTTGATATCAATGAGTTTATAATATCTCCAAATCCATAAAATGTTCTTTAAGTCCATGAGCGAAGACCTCAAAATTGGTCATCTTTAGTTCAAAGTGTATAGTCAGAAGTCTAAACTCATTAACCAAGTGGGGAGCAGGTGTGATACAATATATTTGAAAAGTATGTTGTTATTTTTTTCTTTTTGACACTCAGTGACAAATTGGGGGGAAAATTTCTTAATGTGTGGGAAGATTTTTCAAATGCACACATAACTATAGCACACGGTGACTTCTTTCTGATTCAATTTCATAAATTGCTACATGAAGAAGCACCCTCTAGTAGATAATACTCAGAAATCAGCACTTAATATGGCAGTAATGGTTATTGCTGTCATTCTTTACATCTTTAAAAATAATTAAGCATTACTGCACAGGCATTATAAAGTTCCCCTATCACCATTAAGAGGATATTTGAGGTTTGATGTAATTTAGCAAATTACATTATACAGTAGTTAAGGTTTTTATGCAGTGAAGTAAAATGCGTAGTAGTTAAGCACACTTACCATATAATGCATTGTACAGAGTTACATGTTCCAGCTGCCGCCAGCTTTGTTCCAGTGTCATTATTGCTTTGCAGGCTGACGTTCCTCAGGGAGTGATTCGAGTGCAAGCTCCCCGTCTTTCGAAAGTTTCCATGGCAATACAGCTAACGGAAGAGCTAAAAGCCAGTGATGTACTTGCCAGGTTTCTCAGCCAAGAAAGGTAGAGGCCTGTTTTAATTATTCTATGGGATAACTCACTTGTCTTCCCTCTTCCCTTTTTCATTAACTATAAAGTAGTGTGCATAGCTTAAAATTTTTGTCTTCCCAGCAGAGGAGAACAGACCTGACAGTTTGACTATTGGAATGAGTTTAGTTCAAGTTGAGCCTCTTTCAAGCAGGAGGCCTGACGGTTCCTTCACTGCGCCTGGCAAGGGAGTCGCTCAGTAGTAGCCTTTCTTGAATATGTTGATGAGAGGTTAATTGCTGTTCCTCGGCTGTTAGGAAAATTACTAATTAGGATACAGTGGTATTAAAATAAAAGATGCAACTTTTTCTATGAAATATAATGAATACAAAAGAAATGTTCCAATTTAAAAACAGCATGAAGAATTGAGCACAGAGAAGCAGTCCCTTGAGTCTGCAGTCAGTAGGGGAGAATGAATCTTCCTCATTAGGGGCAGACAAGCCCTTCACTTCCATTTTGGGGCAACAGTCCATTGAAAGCCATTGGTCTCCCTCTTACTGTCATAGTGGAGTTGATTTCCAATTCATCTTAAATTTTAGACGTCATAATAGCTGTATTGGGTTTTTAATCTTTAGTTTTTAAATTCTTGTCTAATGAGTCATGTTTTAATACCAGCCTCCCATTCCTATTCTTTGAGATAAACTAACTAAAATCTTTAAAAAGAAAGGAGATCCAAGGTCATTGGCACCTCGGATGACAATAACCCATTTTGATCTTTCATGAAACATCATCACCTCATTCTAACGTAGGGGGCTTTGGTCAGATTTTCTGCCAAAAGCTTCTCCAATTTTAATATCTCAAGTATTTAATATGCTTCTACTCTGTTTAAGGCCCTTTGCTAGGGGTTGAGAGGAATAAAACTTATTTTAAAGTACCTTCCCTGGGAGTTTATAAATTGAGAGAAGGGATGAGTCTCTACAGCTAACAGATGGTGGTGAAATGGGAAAGAGGCTTATTAGTATTATCTCAGGTTTTAGTAAACCAGCGTGAACTTCCCCTGCAGTAACACTGTGAATATTGTTCTTCTGTTTTACTGATCAGTAAACAGATTGTAGGTCACGTATTTCCCATAGGTAGTGGGGCTGGCCCTCTTCCTGTGGTTTCTATCCTCAAAGGCAGCCCCTTTGCCACTTTCCACATTGGCTGGAAGGTCTGGGAGTAGATGGAATTTTGAGGGATTAAGTTTTATGGGGGTAGTAGAATTTCTTAGAGTCAAGTGTGGAAGCAATTGAAATTTCTCAGATCTTTGCTCCCTAAAGGGAGCTTCCTCTCTACCCTCTCCCTTGACTTTGTAGATACCAACTTTTACTCTTCTTCCCTCAAGAGATGGAATCCCCTCCCCTCCTAGAAAGTCTTCCTACAGATCTGCCTAACTTCAGACATGAATGGCTCTTTCAGGCTACACACAGTTCATTTACATGGCATTTACTTTCTGGATATAAGTGCCCAATTTATTCATTATTTCCTTCTACTTGCTAATAATATAAGATACAAATTCTACAACATACTCAACTGTGACTTTTATATTTAGGGCATAGCATGAACCATTAGTCAGTATATTGTTATAGAAAGCACCAGCTTTGTGATAATTGCCCTCTCTGCATATTTGGATTTTCTGCTGGTGGTGCTGTTATTAAATAAGCACTTTCTATTCTGTGGAGTTGGGCCCGTAATCCTTTGGCCCTTTCCTTATTCTTGGGGATGTAGAGACAACCAATCAATCTGGATTCAAAATGCTCACTATTCATGCTTCACTCTAGGCTAGTTTTTATAATTTTAAATCTCATTTTGTAAGAGTGGACACAACAGGACTTACGTTATAGTCTTGTAATGATCACCTGTCTGTCTGGGCCACATAGTAATGGAAGTCCTCTGTTTTCTTCTACCTCATGCCTGTACTTCTGGTTTTATTCTACATGTGTTGGGGTATTCTTATACCCTTATACCCTTTCATCCCTATTCTTCCCTACTTTCTCTGCTGAAGCCAATCAACACATGAATCAACAACAACAAAACAATAAATTGCACATTTGCCAGTCCACTCGGGATTTATGCCATCTTATTAATGATGAATTTGTTGATGAGCATTATATGAAAACTTTTGTAGACTGAAAAAGTCTTTCACATTTTTATCAAGTGGAATAAAAATATAGATACACAAAAAATCAATTGGAGCAAATATAGCATTGTTTTTTCATAGCRGGAGTGAGTTTTCATACTCAGCTGATGGGGTTACATAGTACAAGTATTTAACTTAAAAAAAAATGTACTCTTGGTTGGAAACTATGAATTAGGATCTGATGTGGCAGGTGGATAGAGAAGACTAGGTAGCCAGATGAGCCATTAAATGGCTGGTTAGGAAATCTGCTCTGTGCCCTATTTCTCCTAATAGCTTTTACTTCTCATTTCCAGAGTCTTTCTCTTCATGATCTTATATCTGCAGTTCACAAATATGTTCATGCATCACAGTGACCTATAGAGCATGTAAAAAGCAGATTCTTGAATTTCATCCTAAGAACTTCTAGAGCTTTGAGTCTGAGTTTTTACATGTTTCTCAAGTAATTCTTTTACAGAAAGTTTTGAAAAAAGAATCACTGAATTTTACCAATTTTTGTTTTATCCTAATGATTTGTTGTATTTTCAGACTTTGCAAAAAAAAAATAACAATTGTATATATTTATGGGGTGCCATACCTTGCATTAATACATGTACTATCCAAATTGGGGCAAACATGTCTCTCTCCTCAAATATTGACCACCTCTTTATGGAGAAGTGTTTGTTCTTTGAAAATTATAAATGCAACTTTCCTGATAAAATTACACCTTCCTGATGGCTGTTTGCTTCTATGATTTGGGAGTATATGTACCTCCCACATTGGACTGGCTGTTAGAGAGAGACCTATGAATCATTCTTTGCATTCATCTTGTACAATTGGAGTTGTCAGCACAACAGCCTTGTGACAAAAACCTTACTGGATAAGTTCATTGTGAAAACAGAGATGGAAACTTGGGCCTCTATGCAAGATAGATAATATAACATTTTAGCTGCCATTCAAATTAATGATTAACTTTTCCTTTTAACTTTATAAATTTAGATACTGATTTATTATTTTGCCTTCAGATGTATGATTCCATTTGTTTATTTACAGGTGTGACATTTTTATTACCTATTCGGCACATTTAACAGATGGGAAAATACAAATGTGTAGATAATTACGGTGTGTCTGAGTTATGAATTTTCCATACCAGCCAGAATTCCCCAAGCATGTTAAAGTGATTTACTTGCAAGCTGTTTGATGATACAACTAATCAGTTTGTTTTGTCCCTAAATAGTGGGGTTGCCCAGACTCTCAAGAAAGGGGAAGTTTTTTTGTATGAAATTGGAGGAAATATTGGTAAGCACATTTTTTTCTCTTTGCATTCCATATGCTGTTCTGACATTGCCAGTGGTTATTTATATCTTTGAAGGAAAATAAAAGGAAGTTGTCAGTAAAATATAGCATGCTTTTCGATAGTTGCTGAATATTATGGATTTGTTTAATGGTCTAGACTTTTTCCTCCAGGCTCTAGTTGAGCTGCTTCTGTACAAATGCCCCTACATTCAACCTCAGCAAAGGCAAGTTTCTTAGAATAGGAAAACCTTCTAGAATGGACAGTGATACGAATTTTTCCAGATTGCTTTCATTTTTATACCTTCATAATAAAGGAAGGAGTTAAGCTTATTTAAAACCAAGATAAAATAGTTTTATTATGGCATAGTACTAGATTTTTTAGTAAAAGTAGGAAATCAATGTGGACAAATTACTAAGTCTTATATACTCACTAGTAATTTAGCAAATAGAAAAATAAACAAGTCATTTATCCTATTTTATAATTATCAGTGGGTCTTATTATTATTTTAGTACTGGGGATTGAACCCAGGGGCACTTAAGTACAGAACCACATTCCCAACCCTTTTAATCATTTATTTAGAGACTGGGCCTCACTAAATTGCTGAGGCAGACTTTGAACTTTGTGATTCTCCTGCCTCAGTCTCCCGAGCCATTGGGATTACAGGCATTCACTACCATGCCTGGCTCTCATTTCTTCTTTAAAACAAACTTTTCCTTGACTCTGAAAACTGGTAAGGATGACATTAAAAATGAAATTTTTAATTGAAAATAATTTGAAGTTTTATACAATATTTTCTGGAACTTAAAAAAATGTTAGTTGAATACTGGATATGTGAAGGCTCATTCTTAACATTTAAATAAACCACAGGTCCACTAGAGAACTGCAAATGTTAAATCTGCTAGTAAAGATTAGTATTAATACATTTGATTTTACTATTAGATGATTCTAAAATTGTTATTAAAAATTTAATTTTTAGTTGTAGTTGTACATAATACCTTTATTTTTATGTGGTGCTGAGGATGGAACCCAGGCCTTGCCAGGCAAGTGATCTACCACTGAGCCTCAGCCCTAAAATTGTTGTTCTTAATAAAGGTGAATATGAATTTAAGGAACTGTTTAAAAGCCTACAGTACGAAGTATTTTGATTCCTCATTTAATTGGAAACCTACTTATTTAGGGAAAGACTGCCAAATTGGTTTTTCCAGTATTTTGCCTCTTTGTTTAAGTATTAAAATGTATTACAAAATAGAAAAATAAACCTAAGTCATTTATCCTATTTGCTAAACTGCTAGCGAGTACATATGTGCCTGATGAGAATGGAAAAGGAAGAAGTATTTAGAAATCTAAGACTTCAGATCCATCGAGTTTCAGTTCAAAACTGCACCCCATCCTCCCACTGTGCTCAGCTTGGTACCACCTCTCTTCAACAGGGGAACGCCGTCTTGATGATGACACTTATATGAAGGACTTGTATCAGCTCAATCCAAATGCYGAGTGGGTCATCAAGTTAAAGCCACTGTAGAAGACTGAAGCTGCTGATCCACTACCTCTACAATCATGCTTCCTGGGATCAAGACTATATATAAGTGAAATGTCAGGGCTCTTAATAGTCAACTGTACCCACCTATTAAGACATGACACCCTCAAGCCTTAAAAAGTTAGATTTGTGCTGCTGCCAGAATGATGCTAATTGTTACTAGAAACAAGTACCACTGGAAAAGAAAGGGGCTTAGTTTCTGGGCTTTTTCATATGGTCTGAAATGCATCCAGATGTGACTGKTTTTTAGTATGAATGTCTCTATCTGCTCACTTTTTTTCCCCTAAAATCATATTCTGCAATATATGTTTTCTCACCTTTTGTAGCTCCTTGCATCTGCCTTCCCGCAATGAGGTTTGATATTTTTTAACAACGACAACAAAAAAAAGATAAATAGCAGGTATGGCAAGTCGTGAAGACAACACACGTTGAAACAGACCTTATTCAACAGTATTCCTGGCCCTATAGAACATTAGTATGCATGTCTGAGTCATTTGCCCAAACAGTACCATCCTGCTCGTTTCTGCTGCATTGCATTCAGTGATTTGTGAGTTGTTTTTTTCCTGATATGTGCAAAACTATTTCCAGGATCAAGAAGATAGAACTGTTAGAAACTGCCAATTATTATCAAACCATTAAATACTTCTAAGAATAAATAAAACATACCCATGTGGAATAACTGAATTACTGATAACCAGAGAGTAAAAGCCAAATCACTTCATGTTTGCTGTATCCTTCCAACTGAAACGCAAGAAGTCATAGCTGGCTTTACCTATTGTTGTATTAGCACTATAAATATGCATGATAGTATAATCCAATAGTGGTTGGAGAATGTATTCTTAAAGTGGGATTTTTCCTCCTGAATAAGTCTAGTGGAAKAGTTATTCTTCTGGCTGTGACATTCATGTGAATGAGCTTTTGTTTGTGTACTTATTTTAAATAATCAGTAAATCTATTAAAATGTAGAATGTTCCCAGGGATTTTAATACACAAGCCACACTGTGACAATAGATGAGCCTCCGTACTGTAAATAAGAGAAATGAAGGAAAAGAGAAATGTTAAATATTTTATGATGTTAGAGTGTACTAAATAAAAGGTGATGTAAACAYTGCACCAACTGTGTTCATGATACTTTTAGTAGTACTTTAGGACAAATTACATTTTCGGAAGCTATTGATGTCACTAATTAGGAGGGAAAATTGTTAGTGAGAACAGGCATAAATTTGTAGCATATTGCAAGAGCAGCCTGTGGATATAATCACTTGAGTAACTTTGTGGTGATTTGTGCCATTGCTTTTTTATTTAAAGAAATTTTTATAATTAAATGCATTTTTCTAAGTTATTGTCTCTTGGAATTATTACTTTTAACCCTATGTGCCTTTTAAACTGACAAGTGAACTATTTTTGTTATTAAAAAGTCACATCTACTCATTGCTCCTGTGTAATTTTTAAATTTGGAAGATGTGGGATATAAACTTATCTCCTTCCTTGGATTTTTTTTTCCCCTTCTGCAAATTGCTTTACTTTCAAAATACTGTTGTTTGACATTACAAATTTCTCAGCAAAATGTTTTACTACAGCATACAGAAATTGATTTTCATTCCATTTACTACCCAACCAGGGGGAGCAGGTTTTTGATCATGTTTCTTTGGTAAAGAAATTAAAATGTCATTTTAATTTGCCCTTCCTAGAACTCATGATACAACCAAATTTGTTGGCATTAAAATCTCTCACACAAATCTAAAGATGAGAAGTTTGATAGCTTGGAGCCTTAAGTGTAAATGTTCTGGTCATCCCATATGCTTTACTGTGATTTTTTTTTTTTTTGGCCTCCTATTGTAAATATCACAGTAGATTTGTCTGTGTAAGGGAAAATAACAAATATATTAGCCTTTGAGTCTCAAACATTTCAACTCTTACAGAAGTTGCCGGTGCAAAGTAGAAGAGCCATGTGTATAGAAGATTGGTGCCCTGTAAAGATTTTGGTGATGCCTTTTTTTTTTTTCTGAAGAGGTCCTGTAATTCTTTTCACTTGCACTTCAATGTATATTTCTTTGCTTAATGTTGCTGAGAATTCACTGTTAGTTCCTGGTTGACTCGCTTTGGGGAAAGCAGTTTATTTTACTGACTTCACTGGATATTTCACTATTGTTTTTGCACTTTGTTCTGATTTCTCACCCACTTGTCAGTAGGTGGCAGTATTGGTCAGGAATTCCTTTGAATCTGAAATATGGGAAATTAAAAGAAATGAACCCAAGTTCATAGGTAAGTAGCCGAGACTCATTCCCAGGCATTTGCAAGGCAGTTTGGCAACAATACTGGATCTCTTGTGTTAATTACCCTTTCTAAAATAATAATTCAGTTTCTATGTTCAGCTTATTGCTTTTATCCTTAACCCATTGTGTGTGGGGGTGGGGTGGAGGTGTGTTATCTCAGAATTTGGCTTTTGTCAAATGTCTATTTCAAGCACAGAAGGATTATTACAAGAAGCAAGGCTGAAAACCAGAACAGTAAGAGGAAGGGTGTCTAAGGAAAGGTCTGACATGTTTAGTATACATAGTTCTTCATTCAGATGCTTATTAGGCACCTATGTATGTGCTAAGTATATTGATAAATACATCAGTGAACGAAATAATAAAAAGCCCCAATCCCATTGAGTTTACACTTCAGTGGGTAGAACAATAAGTTAAGTAAATTATGGGGTATGTTGAAAGGTGGAAAGTGCAATGGAGACAAAATGAGCAGGGTGGATGGGATGAAGTGGAGGGATGGGCACGTTACGTATTGAACGTAGTGAGTTGCCATATTGAACAGTAGTGAGTTGCCATATTGATATCTGGAGGAAGAGCATTCTAGGAAAAGGGAACATTTAGAGCCAAGTTCCAAAGCAGAAGTGTGCCTGACTTGGCAAAGGGTGGCAAGAGCAGATACAGGGCCCTTGAAAGCCAAATGGTGATGTCAGAGAGGGGAGGTTAGGGTAGGGGATAAGATCATGAGAGCCTTAATTAGGATGATGGTAACTTAAGGTTCAAATCAGGTCCCATCAGAGTAAATGGCAGTGTTGTTGAGGGCAGGAGTTGCTAAGTGACAAGAAGTGGTCATCCCTCCTCATGGTGAAGGTGGAGAGGTACAGGGTTTCTGGTTTGACAGAACAAGAATGCATTTTTAATGAAGGTTTGCCACAGGGGTTTTGACCTGAGCAATTAGAAGGATGGAATTTCCAATAAATAGGGAAGGAGGTTTATCAGATATTCAGAGGGATGTCTCTGGACATCCAAGTGTCAATGACCTGGGAGTTACATGAGAAGTTCAAGAGGCAGGTCTGGGTCGAAGTCATGGCCATGCATGTGGGATTTAACTTAATGAGATCACAAAGGGAGAGTGTRATATAGGAGAGAAATCGCCAAGAACTAAGCTCTGGAGCTACCCAACATCAGAGGCTGGGAGGAAAGGGGATCAGCAAAGAGATGGAGAAGTGACTTGGAGGCAATTAAGATTATGACATCATAATGGGCACTGAGAAGCAGGGAGTAGTTACGTCACAGGCTACTTGTAACTCAAATGAGATGAGGGCTGGCAATTGACCACTAATATTACTGACCTTGCTGAACAGCTAGGTAAAGTTATGGGACCTGTGATAGGGAGTCAAGAGAATGGCAGAAGAACTAAAGGTTGTGGATGCTTCTTACAAGGAATTCTGTTTCTACACAGGGGAGCTAATAAATGAGGCACAAGCAGAAGTAGAAGATGTTCTTATTGCCCAAGTTTTGGGGGGATTTATACATTTAAGTAATTTTTGAGAAGAGCCAACATAGAAAATGAAGCAAGTCAACCTGGTCCAAGATCACACAAGTTAATCCAGTGTCTAATTTGTATATCAGTTTACTAGAATTAAATATTATCTAAAGGATCAGCAGCATATTCAATAAATGAATATTTTTATTAGCGTTTATTAGGATCAATATTATCAGTTGTACATCACCTCAAAATGTTATTTTAGTATATTCTTTGCCCCTGAAAGTAAGAAAACATTGAACAGATGACAAATACAGGGTATTCATGGAGATGGGTAGTAGCTGTTTAGAATAGCAAGCCCTTTCCTCCTTTGGTGATTCTGCTAGCATCTCCTATAAACATTCCTTCCTTGAAGTGGCAAGTCACTTCTGGGATGTTTGAGGACTGTCCTTTATTTTGCTCTGGTCATTGGTTCCAATGCCACCTATGCTACCTGGAAACCAGTGGCTGTATCTCCTCCTTGGAGGATCTGGGGCACCACAATAATTCCAGAAAATTTGTACTCTAAACAGCATTTGTTTCATTTAAAGTAAAGACTGGCAGAAGGGACAGAATTCTCTCCCTGCATCTCAGACCAGGAGACCCAGCAAGAAAACAAAGCCTTACTCAGTTCATGTTTCACTCTTGATCACTTCTAGGATGATCCTGGGCACCTGGTGTTGGCTACTACTGCTGATAGAGGTCCCACTTCATTGTTAGTTTTTCTGAGACCCCAGTTTTTCAAATTTCACATTTAATTAGTATTAAAGAGCAATGATTTTATCTCCCCATCCTCCAGTACTGGGGATTCAGCCCACTGAGCTATACTCCCAGCCTTCGTAAAATTACCTTTTTGAGATAGGATCTTACTAAGTTGCCCAGGCTGGTCTTGAACTTGTGATCCTCTTGCCTCAGCCTCCCAAGTCACTGAGTAACATGTGTACCAGCATACCTGGCTTCCTTCCACTTCTGGTGGCTTGGAATATGGACTTGGCATCAGTTTCTCTTTTCACATGAGGCGAAGTGTTTTGGAGGATCCTTGGCTCTGGTCAAAAGGGTTTCAGAGGAAACATGAGACTCCCCTTCCTCCATATAACCATTCCTTAAACGTTTTTTTTGAAGGGGCTCAAGAGTTGTTTTTCACACATGACTGCATATTGTAGAAGGGAAACATCCATCTTTAGCATTTGTACCTGGAGATAAGACACACTGGCTTTGTTACGGTAAACTTTTTTTTAATCTTGAGGTTTCAAGTCTTGTCTTCTCAACCAAAGTAGTTCAGATAAGCTTCAGGAAAAGCAGCTCTCCTCGCTGCTATATCCCTCTTTTGATGTTCGCCTCCTGCTGCACCTTGGCAGTTCAGTTTTGTATCCTGTTGCATCTCTTGTAACCTTTAGAAACTGACAGCTTTCATATAATCTCTGCTTTAGGTTGCCTTCCTTTCCAGCCAGGGCCAAAGAGAACAAGGCATTTCCCCTGGAGGGAAACTCATAAGGAGAAGGAATCTGTGGCCCAACTTCTGAGCTGACCACTAGTTAAAACTACAATTAGGTGCAAAAAAACAAAATTTTATTGCAAGTACAAAAACAATGATTTAGTTCTTGTGACTTTACAACTTAATTTTAGTGGAGGAAATCTTGGGCACCTTGGCTTTGTGTGCTTGCACCACTCAGTTTATAATTGGCAAGGAAGAATTCTATTGAGAATACAAGGAATTAACGGTTGGGGGATTGTGCTTCTCCTTTCTTCCAAGATTCTTGAAATATACTCCAGGACATGCATCCTCATGCTTGTCTTTATGTGAAGAAAGTGGAAGGAATTAACAAGCTTTATCATTATTTTTGATGCTATGGGTTGAACCCAGGGCCTAGTGCATGCTCTGCAAATGTTATGCCACTGTTACATCTCCAGCAACAAAATTTTTATTCTTAAGAAATTATTATAGTTAGGTATTGTTTTAAAGTATATTGTGAGCTCATTTAGGCATTACTATGATAAGGAATACTTTAAAGGCTCAGAAAGAAATAAGATCCTCACTTGTTCCTCTTTCCAAGTGCTTGCTATGTGTGCTGTACCAGTTAATACTATGGGTAATGTATCATCAATTATATGATGTATTTCCACAGGGAGATTAGATTTACATTTGTGGATAGGAGGGAGGATACAGGTACAACTAACTGTAGGATAAACTAGAGGAACACAGACAAAGGGTATTGTTCATTGGGCAGCATCAGAGGCAGTGAGGAGGAGTGGTATTTAAGCTGGAAACCCAGTTAGAATGTCAAGTTGAGATTCAGAATCAGCCTATGGCAATGAAAAGTGAGAACGTGTTAACCAATGTTGGAGTCAAGAAGACTTGATGATTCCACAGGATGCAGAAGAGTTAAAGGCCCTAAGAATTAATGGTGATTTTATTTATTTAGGTAGTTTCTTTTCAATGGATCCCAGAATAGAGGGACATAGTTAGTTTAGGGATAGAGGGCATGGAGCAAGAGGAGAATATTATGGGAGTGGAAAGGAGAAAAAGTAACAATGTGTTGAGATTCAGGTGTGTGAAGAGCTGAA